AAAGTAGTTTTAATTTTCCAACCCATCAGGCTCTCTCCCTCTTTTCTCCTCTCCTTCCCATTCTGGGGAAGGAAGAGGTTAACAGAGAGCATCTCTGATCTGCTTTAAGTGCTGGCCTTAAATGGTGACAGTATAGAATTCCTGCTACTAGCAAGAGAAACTGCCTGGATTTAGCTGGGAATGCTAGTTAGCCCTGTGTTTCTAATGCAGTTGTAAATATGCTGCTTTTTCATGTCCTCTTTCTAACAACTTGGACAACACAGAGGTCATGTTGCAAGGGTAAGCTGTAATGACTGCTAGGTGAACCTGTGCACAACTTGCTTCGGAAGGCTCTAGCAGCAGATAAAATTTATTCGTTACGGACTTTAGAGTTCCTGTTATGACATTATCTCTGTGATATATGGAGCATGCTGGTTATTTTTAGCACCATTTTAGTAGAAGGATGTTTTGACTAAATGGAAGGAACACTGTAAAATTAAGAGGAAAAAATGAAAAGCTCTGTGCATAGGATAAAATAACAATAGAAGATTTAATATAACCTTGTATATGCTTATAGTCTCTTCTCTCTTCCTTCTTCATATTGCTTTCATGACTGTTATTAAAAATCTCTTCAAACGTTTAGATCTCAGGAAGTTTCAATGTCAAACTAGGATGAGATGTTGGAAAGCATTGTTCTACCTCTCTAAAAGCTGTGCAGGAATTTCACAGTGCACTTGATAGGTTGAGGATCTTAAACCTTAATTTTCTTCATGATCCCATGAAGACTTTCACAAAACTTTTCCTGTATCTGTGTTTTGCTCAATTGAGCATGGCCTCTGGATATATTTATATCCCACTAGATTTCTCATGAATAGCGTTTTTACCTACAGACATAAGCAGAATCTGTGAAATGCCTTCAAAGCAACAAGTTCATCTTTTTTTATCTGAACAGGATGGTGATGCTCTTCTCTAGAGACTAATAAGATATTTGTGTGCTATGGCACAGTTTCTCTAATGATCTTAGAAGAAAACTGTTAGAGCAGTATAACATAAAAAGCTCTCTTCCCAAGAAGTAGATGAGAAGTGTGTTAAAATAATTTTTTTTCCTGAGTCCGCTAGATTTAAATGCATTTGGCAAACTGAGGTCTAAATTTGAGCTTATGTATAATTAATTGTGTCTGTAGACCTGACTAGGAAAAATGCTATATAGTGTTCTTGCTTTGATTTGTTTTTTTCTTTTCCCTCTGTCAAAAAAACAGAGCAAAACCATTATACAGAGTATACAGCCAGTGTGTGGCTGACTTGGCATCTAGCACTCCTTGTAGTGCCGAAAGGGAATGTGGCTTTAATGACAGTGCGTGGAGTTAAACTGAAGTTAAACACCCAGCCAGTGCCTGCACCAAGGCGTTGGGCTGGTTGCGTGACCTTGGACTGCTCAGTTGTTAGGTAAAGCTTGCAAGATAAACTCCTGCCATTTACTGTAGCCGAGTTCACAAGCGCCAAGTTGTCAACTTGTGGCAGTGTGGGCACTCAAGAGCTCCTTTATATAGGAGTATTTATTGGGATTTTCCACTAGTCTGCTTACAGCTGCGTGCCCAGCAATTCTGTACCTTAAATCTTTGTTACAAGTCGCTTAAGTTACCTGTTCAGTTACTGAAGTATGATTGCTTTTCTAGTCAGTAAAGTTAACAATAATAAGCTCTTAGTCATTTTCACGAGTAGACATGAAAAAGCCCTTAAAAGATGTCTATATCAAAATTTTGATTTTTGTGTTGGAAATGAAACAAATGGAATGCAAACATCGCTAGGTTGTGGTCAGGCTCAGGGGTTGTGCAGCTCAGTGGAAGGTTGGAGTGAAGAGACCTGAATTTACTCTTCATAAGCATCATCTTCAGTTAATTACAATGACCTATGCTTTAATGATAGTTACGTATTTTGGTTTTTTATTTTCCTAAATAGACCATAGTCCTCTGCTTTTTATCTGTTGGTATTTTGAGTAATGATTGGTCTCGGAGACACCTTTGCAAAATGGACTAGAGTTTGATAAGAGGAATAATGGACTATTTGAGACTAAAGTTCACCTGCTGTATTTCCATAAAATTGTTTATTTAGAGATCTATCATGAAACTGAGATTGTAGCCATTTATGTTCCCAGTTGTAATACATTCTCACTGATGTAGGTTGGAAACTTTTGTTCTGTGTGCGGTAGTTGTTGTGTTCTTAACTGCATTTATTAGATTTTACACATTAGAATGCCTTGTTTTGGTAGGATACTATGCTGTGCATAGATGGGGTTTTTATAAAGCACATCATGGTAGTGAAAATAGGTCCGAGAAAAGTGCCCTGATCTTGGAGCAGAAGGTGGAGAGACTTGTATTGATCTGGGCTCTGGAAGGGTTTTTGTTCCCGGGCAAGAGACTGGTCACTGTAAGGGCTGGTTCCCACACAGACGAACCTTCTTGTCTTTGTACTGTTTTCTATGCTACCAAATTGATGACAGCCCTCCCCCGAGATGTTTATGCTTATACTGGATCTGTCCCATTCCAGGATTCACAGCTGGTAATAGAAGCCTTTAAATCGGGGTTTGAGCCTCCGGGAGATATCGACTTCGAGGATTTCACGCAGCCGATGAAGCGGACTGTCTCGGAATCCAGCCTTTCCAACTCCAGAGGGGATGGGAAGTCTGAGCCGAAGTTTGGTGGCAAATCCAAGGGCAAGTTATGGCCATTCATCAAGAAAAATAAGGTACTGACTTGCAAACTTGAGCTTGGTGCTAGTATGTGTATAGTCAATAATCTCTGTCTTGTCTAGTAATCCTATGGAAGTATGGGGTTTTTTTTAAAAAGAGAATTTTAGATTCAGAAAGTTAATAACTGATGTCTTAATATGGTGTTTTGTTGTAGTCTTTGGTTACTTAAGTTTCTTTATATCTTTACATTATTTTTTTCTTGTATAATTTCTTTAATTATGTTGCAGTTTTTATGTTACTTTAACTTTAGTTGTCACGTCTCTGCCATGGTCCATTTCTGTTCCTAACTCAGAGAAGGAATTGTATACCACTTACCTAGTGCCATGTGTGCAAACTAATATTGTTACTTTTGGGAAGCTTTAATGTGGCATTACTGTTTTGACACTTCTAAAACTCTCCTTGGCTTTTCATTTGCGTTACCTTTTCAGTCTGTGCACTGGGTTCAGCATTTTTGTGGCTGGGAATAAGGAATTGCTGCGATTCATTCTTCTTAAGCACAACTAACAGAGCATAACTAACTGAGCAGTTGACTTTTTAAAAGACCACATTAACTTATATATCCATTAAACCTTTTTCATTTCACTGTCATATTTTACACCATAATGCATGGCAGCATTTATCTGGGGTTACCAGAATGTGTCAGGGTGACCGGACTGAATCAGTTTTCAGTAACGCTGATGGAAGCCCAGAGTAGCTTCGTTGTTTTGGTCTCGCCCTTGCTCTGACCCATACCAAACCACTTCTTCTAATTACAGAGCCAAAAAAAAAATCTACCTGTTCAAAGTGGGTCATTCCTGTTGTGCTGGTATAAGAGAGAACTCAGCTATCTGGTGCTTACATCAGTGTAGCCAGAAACAAAACCCAGGACTAACTCCTGAGCAAATTCATAGAATAATTTGTAAAAGTGAAGTGTGATGCACCGTTACTGAGGTATGATTGGAAAGCAGGAAGGAATGTGGTTTGTTGTTTTCCAGATAATAGAAACGCTACTGGGCACTAAGGTACCTTCCTTATCTGATCCATTTAAATTCAGGTATTTGAAAGCTCTATCCATATGCATTATTCTGAGCTGTCCACAGAGCGAGAACAGGGCAATTTATGGGGATAGCGCTGCATGGAAGAGTCTGCATGAGCTTCCTGTCAAAGTACTTTTGTGTTACTCTTCTGTTGCATCACTTACTAAAACTTCCATTTATCACATTCTTCATTTAACACAACTCTTAAATACTGCTTTCCCCCCTCTTTTGAACCATGGCCTTTAATATTTAATTATTTAATTGTTTTTTTCTCTGAATTTCAAATATTGGTTTTGATGCTTATTTTCGTTTTGTGTTTTATCTTTTTATTTTGGTTTTTATTCTGTCACTTCTCCATCTCTTATACGTAGCTTATGTCCCTTTTAACATCCCCCCATCAGCCCCCTCCTCCTCCCCCTGCCTCTGCCTCACCCTCTGCTGTTCCCAACGGCCCCCAGTCTCCCAAGCAGCAAAAGGAACCCCTCTCCCATCGCTTCAACGAGTTCATGACCTCCAAACCCAAAATCCACTGCTTCAGGAGCCTAAAGCGCGGGGTAAGTTCTCCTCTGGATACCTCTCTCTCTCTTTCTTTTCTTTCTTTCTTGCGCTTTTATTGCATGTTCTGTTATGTAAAAACTTGTTTTGTTTTGTGAATGAATCCATTGTGTTTTATCATAACATGCAGACAAATCCAAGGAATCTCAACCTATAAAGCCATTTGTAGTCAAAAACCCCACAATGAAACCACAAAAAGTACAGTTGCTGATGGAAATTACCCATTCAGGTTTTTTGGGGAGGAGGGACTGTCCAAAGTATGGAAGGAAGAGCTGAACATTAAGTAATACTTATGTAGAAGTCAAAGTCATTAATTTAGTAGCCCTGCATATGTCTGTGGCAGAGTAGATTTGGAGGAGCACCATTCACAGGTTTAGTCTGATGATCCTGATGCTGCATGTAGTCTACGTCAATGTGAAAAGTTTTCCTCTCTGCAGGGTGGATGCAGCTCAATGTTGGTGTCAGAAGGAGGAGTGTAAATTAGGAGGGATTCTAGAAAATAATTTTTCTGATTTCAGTTGGTGCAAATTCAGGCATTTCCCTGAAATGATCTGACACCTCTTGCTGCAGTAGCGGGAAGATGACTTCCCTGTATTTTATGACCCAGTATGCTTCTGTATGCAACTTCTGTTCCAGAGACTCAGCCTCAGCTCGTGCTTCAAGTGCTGCAATGCTAGCTTGCTTAGTAAGTCTGAGTCTTAAGATAAGAAAACACGTGAGATGTGAAAGATGAATTGATTTTAGGTGGTAATAAAGTTGTTTGTATGGTACATGTGTGCTTTCAGCCAGGGCTGCCGTGTGGGTGGAGACTGAGGGGACACCGAATTTAATGTTCCCTGCAGCTACTTCAATTACAGGTGGCTCTAAATATTTGGGGCTGACACTTCTTGGGGACCTTAACTGCATTCTGTAGCATGATGTTTCAATAAGATAGCAAGGTTTGTTTTGATTCCTGTAGAGAGCCTAAGAAATCCTGCTTCCCAACACATTTATTTATCATGTCTGCCTTTGAGCCTCCTTGAGCAGATGATGTGGGTTAAACAGTTTTTAAAGTATCCATAGAAAAATTTAAATCCTGCACTGCTCTTTAACTTTTTTCCTGATTTAAGTGGTTTTTGCACAGTTTTTATTCTTGACACTTTAAAAATTGATGAAATATCTTTGCAAAAATACCAAGTTGGAAACTATTTCTAATAACTGCTGTTTTTGCAAATTACGGAGGAAAGACATTAACTGAGAGTTTGCTAAACTTTGTGATGAACCATGTCAAAGGTAGGAGAAAAAAGAAAATTTAAAGTTCCATGCTTGGTCCTTGCAGCCTTCCCTATGTGCATTAACATGCAGAATCGTAGGCCAGAACATTGTTTTCTGGGCATTTCCCATGAAGTCCATAGACTTTGTTAGTTTCTGAACCTCCTTTCACTTCCCACTGCTATGATGCTCACAGTTTAAAATTATATTCTGTGTGCAAAAGCTTTATCAGCCTAGTGTGCAAGCTCCCAAACACAGATGACAGGTTCTGAGTGATTAGGGCTTGGGTTTTTCCCCTGCCAGGAGCTGAAGTGCAGTGCCTTAGATGCTGATTTATACATTGTATGGTGCAAAGAAGCTGAAAGCCTCCATGACTGGCCTTGGTGATTCACCTGGGTCTTAGCTCAAACTGGATCAATGTTTTGTGACACATCACCACTGTTAGAAGTTCAGGGTCCTTGTCTCCTTTGCTGCTGATAGAGTAGGAAACGTGGCCTGAGATTTCCCAGGTCAGCTGCTCTATTCCTGTCGCTGACAGCAGCTGTGGCTATATTGGTAAACCGATGTCGAAGTGTTTACGTTGAATTAAATTCTCTCATTGGTAGTCTTCGTAAGTAGTAAGTAAAATGACAGGTCTCTGAGATAAAATTTTCCATTTTTCAAACAAAAAGAAGACTTTATCTTCCCTGAAGCTTGCACGTGGCACGGTCATGCTGAAAAATTGCTGGCATAGCATGGCTTTGGCTCCTAGGGTAAGGTCCTGAGAATTACTTCCTCCTATAAAAATTACAGGAAGGAGACACAAGTGTTCAGTATTTTAAAACATTTTTTAGAGCAGACTGTAACAGCAAGGAAGTGACTACTTTAAAAAGCCCAAATTCTGCTCCAGGGACTACACTGACATTTAGGGCTCAAGGCTGGAGTTGCATAAAAGTAGAGATGATTTCGGTGGGGAACTTCAGTGGTTAGTTACAGAGAATTGAGAACACTGCTGTAAACAATATTTTGTCTCATCTGGTTACAGACAGGACATGTAAAAAAAAAAAGTTTTATACAGAGTGGTTTGAAGTTCTTTGCTAGGGAATTGCCATTTAATGCAACATTCAGAACCCAAAAAATCACATTGTTGGTGCTTTTCATTGGGGAAGCAGGAAGTTTCTAAGTTGTCCAAAGGCAGGTTCTGTAAATGTACCTCCTTCCCTCAGTTGCAGTTTGGGTCAGAGCATCTTTTCTCAGTGGCTTTTATGGGGGGAGACAGTCTTTCGATTCTGCTTCTGCAGCAGCAGACCTGGAGGATGTGCTCGGTAGTGGCTGTCTCGGTGACACGCAGTCCGGCAGTCATCTTCACGGAGGTAGCACCCAGACACTTTGGAGAGTAAGGCACTGCTGAAGGTGAGGGTTTGTGTTGCGATGTAGTGCTCCAATAGTGCCCTTCCTGGAACAGAATATTGAAAATGGTGCTGAATATTTCTAACTTGATTTACAAATACTAGTTTGTAGTTCTATGGGCCCTTCACAAGTTTGTATTTCAAATGTACAAATTCTTATTTAGTGAGTATTTGACTGTATAAGCAATTATAACTAATAGCTTTTAATATTTCCTGAAGAAGGGCCATTATTTTATGTATTAACTGAGAATTCCAAGTGAGTCTTCGAATTCTGCATACCATATTGGCTTTAAGTGGTTTGTGTGAAAGATGAAATAACAAGAACAATTTCCTATAGTCTCCTCTGGAATCCCTCAAATTTCTGCTGACATGTTCATTGAAAATGTGCAAGGAAAGGCTATTACTAAATCTTCATTTAAACCTTTCACTATGTTCTCTTTCTATTTCACTTCCTTCCCCTGTTAGCTACCAGGATGTTTGTATGTAAATACTTTTTCCTGCCTGACTCATCCCACAGGGTTGGAGGCCAGTGTTCAGATCATCTCTTTTTCCAGAGGCGCAAATTCAGGCCACTTGGTTCATCTAGAAATACAGAGTAGGAGAGGCTGCAAAGCTCTGGCAGCTTGCTCCATCTGATTTGAAAACTTGTTCAAGTTCACATTTCATAGGTCCTTGGTGATTTGTATTATACAAATGGTCAGACTAAAAGATCACGGAAGTGCCATATGACCTTCAAAAATAAAATAATTCTAACCAGGCAAAAAAAAAAATCAAGAACCACCCCCAAACCCTGTTAATTTATCAGATGAAAAACGAGTCATGGGCATTTGTTTCAGCTGATGTGGCTGACATGACCCCCTTTATATTCAGTACAGCTAGACAATACTGTTAATTCTGCTTTTACCATATTAAGTTTTAAAAGATTTTTTTTTTCCCATCCCCCGTCAAATCCAAAAGCATCTGAATCTTGCTCAGGAGCATGAGCAGTAATGTTACACATACTGGATTGTGATGTTACCAAAGAAATTGGGAGGACGTAGAGGGAAACTCTCCTCTACGCAGAGGAACACTTGGTCTGTACAGAAGTACATCAGCGAAAGGTTGTACGGGGAGCCAGCAGGACAGCACAATGTAACGGGTGTTTGGCTTTGGACACTGAATAATTTTATCTGCTCTGAATATTGTCTCCGCGCTGCTGGTTTTGTTCAGAGGCAAAATTGCACTCCAGCTGGACACCTTGCAGTAAAGGTGGCCACAAGGCAGTTAAAGTATTATTTTAGCGTATTCAACCAAATTGTCAAGCACGTCCTTCCTGGCTTTGTCAATAAACGGAGCTCTTTGCTTCTACAACAGCCAGGGCAACAATTTTGTTTTATTTTGGAGGAAGCTGGATCATGCTCCTTTTTTGCACTGGCTTAAGGAACGAGTGAAAGAAAAGGAACTAAGTGTGAACAAGTCCAGTAGATACTAAGACCTTAACAGAGTAAATACCAGCAGCAGAATTGCACATTGTAATTGATCCTTGAAACACAGCAAGTGAATGGATTCCCATACAGTTCCTCCATGAAATTTTTGAGATCAGAATGTGTCTGGAGAGGCGGTATGTTTCAGTAATTTCCTTATAAAATTTTGGTTTAGCATCTTATGTTGCATTTGGAAAAAGGAGTTACGAAACTAAAGCAGAAAAATCACTGGTGACTGTTGAAATGAATGATATAATTAGTAATGATATGTCCTGTGCCCAGTCTGGCTTTAATTTTGCTTCTAAACCAAAAATCCAATGAATCTTGTTTTCGTAGAAGGAAGCAGATGCCTGAACAATTTACAACAGATGCAAGGTTAATGTAGAGGCACCAATACCAGCATCAGTGATCGCTGCCAATATGAAATCCTAGTCTGCTAAAAAAAAAAAAAATATTTAGGTGCTGACTCTTGTCATCAGTGTCTATAGTTTTCTAATCACTTTCTTGTATTTTCCTCAAAGTGTCTTTCTTCTAACCCCAACAACAGAAATTATAGAGAATACCGTAAAACTGTTAGAGCACTTATTATGAATCGGAACTAGAAGAGAAGCAGGGGGGGGAAAACAACAAGGCTTTTACACAGTTTTTGTGAGTGCTGTTTCTAATAAATCTTTAAAAAGGCAACATAAATGTAGTGTAACACTTTAATTTCCCTAAAGAGACAGAGTTTAAGCCAGAAGAATACCAAAAATGAGGAACCACTTACATAAGTCACAATTTCATTTATGCTTGCTCTGCTTTTTCTAATTCCATTTTGAGGACAAATAAAACTCAATATTCTGCTAGTTGATATTAATTTTGTGTTCTTTTGTTTTGTTGCTATAGCGGCAGTAACATCAGCACCTTTATTTAAATAGCAATATTTCGGAACTAACAAAATCCAGGGGTAGAACTTACACCTTTGAATTACTCTGGCATTATGTGGCCTTGCCTTTTCTCTCTTACCTCGGAGACTGGGTTGTGATTAAGCAGAGAGGATGATGGGTCTGGGAGCTGGGATGCAGATAATCCTGTCATTATCCAAGTTCCAGCCTCCAGACAGTTCAATAAAGCACATGGGGTGGGACTTTTGTGGTTTCCTTTTTAGTGGAAGTTGTTGACTTCATTACAATGTGATTTTATTTCCATTGCACCAGTTAATGTTTTCCCTTACCGTCCGGTCTTGCCTCTGTGACACACTGTGCAGTCTTCTCCCTCGACACTTAGCTGTTGGTCTGCCTGAGTGGTCAGTACTTGGTTGATCTGTGAGCATGCAGAAACAGCAAACCAACCACCCCCTTTTGTACCTGCCCTCTTCCCTGCCCCTGGGAATGTGTGTTACTTTAATCTAAGTGTATATATCTGTGCCAAGACCAGTATTTTTTGGTGGGTGGGGTCATTAAAACTGTGGTTTATTCTAGCACAGAGAGATGTTTTCTGACCTTGCGTGTTTAAGCTAGCATTTAAAAATACAGTATTTTCTGATTTTTGTGAGAATGTTAAACTCTTAATATTCGCCTAGTTTCTAGGAAGCTTCCACTTTGCACTTAAAGGCTAGTTAAACGCCAAGCTGCCTTTTGCTGTAGAAGCAGTAAACACAGAGGTGCCGTGCTCGTCTCCAGTGTAACGGATGTGTGTTTTCTCTTGCTGACTCACCAGCAGACACAGTCTTTGTATATTCACAAAGAACTCATGAAGAGGACTTTAGGGACACCCACGTGTGCCATTGAGGCTAGGGAATATGTTGTAAGTCCGTGTATGGTGTGATCAGCCCATACCGTTGCTACACAGTCGCTAACCCCACTTACAACGCCTTTAGAGTGTGCTGTGGAAATGTGCTTTGTAAAAGATAAAAGGAAAATTTGGTGGGAGGCAAGCTGCAGCTTACTGTGTTATGTGCAGGAAAGAGATGTCTGCTAGTCCTGGAAATGCTGAAATTGGCACATTTAAAGTAGCTGGACCTGTGAAATTCAAGGCAAGTACTACAAACAGGTTCCACGCATTTATTCTAAATTATTTTATGAATGCAGTTTTGAGCATCGTGAGCCAACCCCTGATTTACAGCAGTGCAGTGACACGTTCTGTGCCTTGGTCGCTGAGCACTCCCTAGAGCTTTTGGAAGCTTCCCTGAACTCTCTATAGTGATGATAGTTCACGGAATCAAGATATGTGACCTCTAAATCTGATACTTGGGTAAAACAGAGTATTGGGAGATTGTTACAGGACCACTAAGAAAGAAAATTACCTCTTGGTTGTATGGAAGTCCAGTGATTTATTTCAACTCTGTTTTCTGTAAGTGAGGTTAGTGTCCGTGACTGTCCAATAACACATGGACTTGCTGGCTTTCATGCTCTCTCATGTGTTATTGAAGCTTGTGGCTCTTAGGCTCTTTTTTTTTTTTTTTCCCCTGCAAGACTAAGCTAGACCTGGTTTAAATTGACAGCTTGAAACAGATTTGCTCATTTTGAACAAATGTAATTTATTTGATTGTTTGGGAGAAAAATGCCCCTGTTCTCCCAGGAGCTGTGAGCAAGTTTCTAGTTGTGAAAACCCAACAGAATGGGCAAAAGTAGTTATTTAGTGTTTAATGCAGATTTATTTTCAGTCTGCTTACATTTGTTTATAGAAACTGAATCACTGTCATGTAAAATTATCAATTCATTTCAGAAATGGAAAACCGAATATGACTTATTTCAGCATTTCATTGTTTCCAGTCTATGATCTGCTTCGTTATTTGTACTGGTTATAACAATCTCTGATGTACTATTTGGAAATGCTATTAATAAGTTCTCTATTTTGTCATACTTAACAGCGTAAGAATTCGGCATACAGTGTCTATAATCCCTTTCAAATTTGCTGAATTTACAGCAAAAGAATAGTCTTGATGCAGATGATTCTTCGCAGTAGTGTAGTGCCTTTAGAGTGAGTAGTGTTTAGCAACTAGCGCATGTAGCATACATTTGTGCCTTGTATAGAGTGCTTCATAGGTAAATATTTATTCTGCACCATGAGTCTTGTCTGTATATATGTACAAGGATCTCAATTTGTGCTGATCATGTCTATGCTAAAGTTCACAGGAGTGCTAAAGCAATTATGCAAACAAAAGCTGCCTATGCTGAATTTCTTCAGCAGTGTATTTTAGCTCCTTCTTTCTCCTTCCTGTATGATTATTCTCTCATGGATTGGTTTTGTTTGCTTTTTTTAATGGCCTCTTAGCTGAGAGAGTGAATTTCTGCATTGCACTGTGATTATTATCATGTGTTTACTTCCTAATGGACTGAACTTCAGAGGGAAATTTAACTGCTGCGTTGTGACTGAATGCATCAGTTCAAATGGAGTATTTCACGTTTTTATTTCAAGGCCATATGTTTTCCTTGAATTGTTGACACGTATTGCTGTACAAATTCTGGTAACTAATGGTAATTGTTACTTTTGAAAAATGTGTATTTCTTAAATTATACTGTCAAAAGCATCATAGGCATGGAGCCACCTTTATTTCAAATCCAACCCTAATGAACTGTGCTTCTGCTAAAAATGGAGCATCTGTTTGAGAGCACCGTACCCAGGAGCTGTTGGTAGTAAAATATCAGAGTACTCTTGAATGGAAAGAGGTTCAGAAGTCTGATGGTATAGATCATTGCCTGGAGTGAGAGATGTTTTCCAGCTTTCATGTTTTAATGTCTTTAACACTGAGCACATGCATTTATGCACTTGTGAGTTTGTTGCATAGTTTGAGGATTTCACAACTGTCCCCAAAGAGCTGGTAGGACAGGCCCAGTGCAGATGACTGGAGGAGGAGCCTGGGTGTAGTTTTGATTCTCCCTTTAAAATCTACCTTTATATCTTGAACAGCAGCTAACTTGTGCTCCTTGGCCCAGAACAGAAAAGCACCGTAGCACTGTTAGTCTCCCTATCTCCTGGAAAACCTTCTGAATTGCAGCTGTCGTAACGTCTTGCAACACTGGAAGAGGCTTTGGTAATTTTGGTGATCAGCTGCCCTGGCACATTTGTTCACCTGGCAGTCCCCGAGGCCCTCCGGCGCTGTCGAGAGCTGTATGTGCAAGGGATGTGGGGCAGAGAGAAACCATGCTGCTGTGCAGGCTCTTTTTAAGCATACACTTCTTTTTAGTCTTACTTTCCCAGAGTAACTGAAAGATAATGTTTTGGCTCTGTACCAGGAAATGTGGTAACCTTTGAAGAATTAGATCATGTGTATCGCTTAAGGAGATGGGATAATGTCTTACCATGCTGTCATAGAATCAACTTGGTGTAAAGAGAAGAGATTTCTTTTTATTTTTTCCTCTTTCCTGGTCCTGACCTTGTCTGACTGTATGGCCAAAGTACATTTGAGACTGAGTATTTGTTTTTTGAATTGTTCAAGAACATGAAATGACCTTACGTGACTGCCCGGACAGCACTGTACGCAATCACCAGGGATATTTCAGGGATGTTGTCCTTTGGATGTCAGCCTGAGAGCTAGGAAATCACTGGAGATCCCATTGTGCTTGTTGCCACTGGAGGCCAAGTGCTGTGACCTTACTGCTGCACGTGAGGTTTGGTTAGGTGTTATCTCCCCTTCTCTTAAGCCCTTGCATAAAGAGGCTGATGCTCGTGACTGCATTTCAGCACGTTTGTGATCTAAAGTGACTTACGTACATGTGCAAGTTCTGAGGTTTTTGCCACTTCAGAGATGTTACTGTAATGAGAAAAATCGCTGTTGTTGTAGCCGCTGTAAATAAGATAATCCAGGCCAGATTTTCACCTGCAGTGCTAAAGCACGTGTGTGGAGGTACAACACTTTTCTGTTTCTGGCAAGGAAACGGCAGCTGACTGATTATGCTGGCCCATCTTGTGAACTTTCGCACAGATCTGTTAGTGTTACCCATTTTGCCTTCCAACAGCAAGGGGATTATGTGTCATTTTATTGTAACGTCAGCCTGAAAAAGTTCCTCTTCTACTGATGCACTGTTGTTTTTTCTCTTTCTCTCCCCACCCTGTATCTCTCCAATTTTTACATGAAGCTTTCTCTCAAGCTGGTAAGCACATTTACAGCATGCCTGTCCTGTGTTTTAATCACAATTTTCTGTGTGTGTTTTAATGTGCACTGTGCCACATATGACATGACACTGAAATTAACTGTTAAATTTGTTTCTTCTTTGTGTTTGCTTTTTTTGATATTTATCAGATAACTCTGAATACACAGGTCTGGAGTCTAATAGAGGTGATCAGAATTCAGTCTTTCTAATAAGCTGCTAAAAAATTAACTCTAATATATAGTTTAGTTTTCCCTTCTATGATCTAGGGCTATGAAAATGTAGAAAAACAGTATCGAGTAATTCTGCTACCGTCTAAGGATACATTAAAACATTTAAAGAGAAAAAAAAAAATAAAGGTCTCTGTGCTTGCTGGACCTTTTCTGGAGAGAAATGCATGTCTTTTTGTGTAACATAGCTGCAAAGTTTGCTTTCCATGTCCAGGTATTGCTGGAAATCTGCATCATTATCACCTACATTTTACAGCCCTAAGTAGTCCTTCAGAATAACTAATAATGATATTAATTAAAGTTCTGTAAACCTTAACCAACAAGGTTAACTCAGTCTGATTTGAATTCTCAAATGGAACGATACGCATATATATGAATCCTAAATTCTATCTTGGATGCAGCTGGGAAAGTTTCTTGAACTACGGTAAGATAATATGTTACTGAGTTGGAAAGGGAAGGGGTGAACGTGTTTGGGAAAGCAAATTATGTGCTGAACTTTGTACACGAGGTACTGTATTGCTTGAGATACTCCACACCTTGATACGTTCCTGACAGCTTGTCTACATTCCTTTGCCCTTCAAGAGTCCAGTCACAAGGAGAATGCGACTGGTTTGCTGACCCACTTCATGCCAGCATGCAAGAGCCACAAATGACTGATTGCAGTTTCAGAGAGCTTCAGAGCATCTGTAGCAGTGCCTTAACTACATTAGCTTGAAAGCTTCCTTATTCCTCACCAGTTAATGTCTTTAGGTGCTCTCTTTCCCCTGCATGTACGTTGTTCTTGGATACGTCGTTGTGGACCTATTCTGTTCATAGCAGCTTATTTTGGAGGAAGTGCGTAGGCCGTGAAAGCTACCTGATGTAGCTCTGGAGGTTTTGGGTCCTGCTGCTGCTCCTCTGTCAACACAGTGACTTGCTTGGGCTCTATTAGCAATATTGCTTCTCACCGAAGACCTGTGGTAGGTCTGAGGAACGATGGAAGTGTCTAGCTTACTTGCAAACTTTGTTCTTTTGGCTGTTGCCAAGCCACTGTCCTGGTAGTCCCAATGCACTTATACCAGGGACTTCCATTTGTTGTTTTCGTGATCACAGCGCTAGTGTGTTGTGTAGCTGAGCTAAGCCTTTGTACGTAGGAATAAATCCTCCCTAAAATAAATGGCTGATTCTTGGCCTTTCTGCAAGAATTGCACAAATCAGATGTGCAGAGAGGGCTGAGACCCATGTGTACCTCAGGCGGAGGAAATCGGCTTGTTTGTAATTTCCTCTCGGGTTCTAGCTGTGCAAGAACCAAAACTGGGACTGATAAACCCTGTGTTCTCCCCATATATAGCTTGAGCCCAGAAGCTGGTCCTAACATGGCTTCTTTTTTCACAGTCCATTATGTTGGGACAATTTGCATCCTAAATCCCAGTACCTTTATGCAAGGAAATCTAGTGAGCACTGGCTGTGCTGATCCTATGATAGCACATCAAAAATAGCAGATTCCCCTACCCCACCCCACCCCATCCTGCTCATTGAAGCATTTCTTAAAATGTAGGCAATGTTCACTACTTGAGAGATAGCCCAGGTGTGTTTTTGCTTGAGAGCATGAAATGTGCCCAGCACGTGCAAAAATTGCTCCTTGACTCTTCCTTTTGGAGGAGGAATTGTAGCTTTTGTCATGATGGGAAATTGCTGAGCATGGAACAAAGTCTGAGTGAGATCACCTCCTAGTCTCAGGCATGCATTTCTAGGCAACACTAATGCTTTGGTCTGAAGCATTGTGAACAAAGATACTGAATTTAGTCCAGCCTAGAGCTTTTGAATGAAGTTGAAGAATTAAAAAGATGATACTTTTCCAAATTTGTTTGACTACATCTATTGCACTCTCCTAATACACAACTGGGGATACTTTCAAGCCTATCTGTCTCTTCTGCTTAGAACTGAGAAAAATGTGTTATATAGTCTTTCTTGTAACTGCTTGTTTATTTACAAAGCTACCCCTAGATGCTTTGCCTTAAAAAGATACGTATGGCTTTAACATGTAGATTATCCATAAAATATATTGAATCACTCTCATGTCTAATGTGATATGGGAGTTGCTATCAAGCAAAATATTATCATTAAAGAATGAACTAAAATAGATCTCTCCTGTACCATGCACAACAAGTAATGTAAGCACTGCTAGGACTTCATGTGGTTAAAGTTTCAGAATCAGTGTAACTTAGTTGTTTCCTTAATTTGTCTTAAATTTGCTTTCTCATTGTCTCATGAATGGAATTTTAAGTGTATTATTACACAGATGATCAAGTCTTAAGTAGACGCATATGCAGTCTTTTACTGAAAGTCAATATGGCAGCAATTTCATAAGACCTGTTCCGTTATTTTGAAATGTTCTGGTCCAGAGGAGAAGACCTTTCTGTAGTTGTCCTCCATCCCTCTGACACCCACACACTTTCTTTCTGAACAGCTTGTCTGCGATTGCAGAAGAAAGAGCACAATGTCTCGGAGCACATTCAGTGCAGAGGTGAAAGGGTCTAACAGGCAGCTTTTAATCACACTCCTCAGAGAGAGAGTTGGCATTTTAGTAAGACTAATGTCACAACTCTGCTCACAAGCTTTCAGTAAGCTGATGGGCCGTTGAATTTGGTTACTCAGCTTTGTGGTTTTACACTTCTTTCTCCCATAGGGTGGTATTCCCCCTTAGAAATGGGACATGGAGTGAGCAGAAACCAAAACAAGAAAAACCTGTACAAATACAAGATGGTGTACCCAAAGCTCATTCCCTTATGGTGCAATTGATTAGTATTGATGTGTGTTCAGTATAGCCCACCCAGACTGTCCCCCTTGCCTTCTTGCATGACAAAAATAGGTGGTACTTTGAAGAAAATAGTATGGATGCATTTTATGTGTCATCTATCTGCTATGTCAAATTGAGGCAATCAAGAAGAGGCATAGCAGTTTGAAGGCAGAAAAGGGATTTTCAAGTAGAATCACACAAAGGTAACCATTGTGGTCTTAAATTTTTTTTTCTTCGGTTATGATTTCAAATTGACTGATTCTATAACTTTGATGTAACTCCTGATTTTTATGCTAGCACAAGTGAGAGAGGAAAAATTGAGAGACTTTGACATGGAATGTGGATCCTGGAAAGTAAGCAGCATGTTTTTAAATTGCAGAATCCCAGAGGAAGCGCTCTGTTAGCTTAGTGTGTTCAGGAGAGCCCTGAGATAAATTAACTGTATTGGACCAACACTCAAGACTATGCAGAGCAAGCCAGCAGTTAGCAGTGTATGAGAAGTGCGACTGTGACGCAGGAGTAAAAGCTAACAACTGCTTTTATGGGGATGCTGTTTGTAGCAGAGTAGAGGAAGGCAAGAAAGATCAGCTTTCCCTGAGAATGGAACTCTGTTAAATAAAATCTGGTGGTAACTATGGATTAAGTAGTTTCTCATATTTGGTGTTGAATTCTGGCATTCTTTAGGTGATGATCTCCCATTAGCCATCTGGTGTAGAAGTGAGATGTGGTCCTGGGGTTATTTCTAAGGCATCCAGATTCCTAACCATTCAAGGACTGATAACTCTCAGTACAAATGATAGCAATGCTTCAGACCATTGTGATTTTGCACAGATTTTTTCGACCTGTTTTCAAAATGCAATCCTGAAGGATTCTTTCAGGCTCTGATTGTTTTCCTGTTGGTGTTTTGTGTTTTTTTTTTTTTTCTCCATTCCACTCTGTGCAGGGAGCAGGGCCAGAAGACTTCAGCAATCTCCCACCTGAGCAAAGAAGAAAGAAACTTCAGCAAAAAGTTGATGAACTAAACAAAGACATTCAGAAGGAGATGGATCAAAGGTATGTCAAACCTCTCCGACGAAAAATGAAATAGGTAGTCTCATATAGAACAGAAACAATTAAAATATAAGAAAGAGCAAACAAGAACAAGATTCTAGGTTTGTTTAATGTGCTGTTCCAAGAAAAGAACAACCAGAGTTTACATGTGGCTAAAAACACCTGAGTGATGCAAGGTGCTCCACAACTCAGATTCTGAAGTCAGTTATTTCATTTTGGCTGATGTAGGTCAGAGCTGGGGCAAAGGCTGTCTTTCTGTTTATTCCATTTTCCCACCTCAGCATAATGCATATTCTGTCTTTGGGATCGTGAGAAGAGAAAGATCCTGGTATAAGGGCGGGAATGATGTAAGTGTAGCAATTGGAGACAGTTTTTCGTTCTTTCTGGAGCTGCTTTCTTGGGCTTTCGCAGGAGAGCAGCGGTTTGATTGTGAGCCAGACAAAGGTTACTGTAGATACACTAAGTTTGTTTCTTGATGTGAGCTGTTCCCGAGGGTGTTTTTTAGGAAAGAACAGTATGTAAATACAGCCCCAGTCAAAGGTACAATCATAGACCTCTCAGCACTAAGCAGAGCGCCTCTTACTGTGTGATGGGCATGGGTATATCCCAACAAGAGAGACTATTATAAGCATGATCACGTCGTCAAAAGTGCTGATTGATTGTTGTGTATCTTAAGACTCTCTGATCTGTAGCTTAAGTTTCCTGGAAGCAGAAAGATAATGACCCCTGTGCTTTTGTGGAGCTTGTTCTACAAGGCTGCATTTATCATTCTGGTTGAGAATAAGGCTGTTTTAATTACATACTTTTTATTGAATCTGGTAGCCTGTATTTGTTGCTTTGTGTTTGTTTACATTCTGCAGTTGCATTAAAGATTCAGCTTGTTATGTTTGCAAGAGACAGAACTTTTCTTCCCTCAGTGATTTTGAGAGTTAACCTCTCCAGTACTAGTCTATCCCTAAATACTGCTTTGCATTTGTACAGATGCGCCTACATTTTCTGCTAGCTTGCTTTGAAGAATCTGTTTATTTTGTCTAGTAACCCGAACTTTCTTCTTTACGTTTTATATCATTACTAAGAAAGGAAAACTGCATCTGGTTATATGATTTCTCATTGCTTTGGTTTTTTCCTCTGTGGTAACTTAACATTTGTCTCTGTACAGATTTTTCTTTCTGTTCCGTATTGATTCTGAGGTAACCCAATGTTGAAATGGGATATGAAATCAGAGCAGAATGAAGTTATTGTTAATAGAGATAGTATAGGATTGAGGAATTAGCACCAGCAGTTACATAAGAGTTAAAAAAATAGTAATAATCATGACTCATATGTTTGCAATATTGTCCCTTAGGGCTTCAACCACAGAGCAGTCCCACTTCCTTGCCACCCACACTTTTTCCCATTTTCTATACACACAAAGCAAAGGCAGGCACAGGATTGCAATTGTCAAGAGTTTGGTGGGAAACTCTCTAAAATATAAAGAGTGTTAATTTGAGTCGTGGGACGCACATTAACCTTTCTCCCCCCCAACTAATGCCTAGAGAAAAGCTGAATAGCTGTGCCAGTAATACAGGAAATCGGCTCGTAAGTCCCACCCTTCTTGAAGCTCTGAAATGTTCATCGTCATGCAGATAACTTTTTTCTGCAAGTTCAGCCTCAGCTTGACTCGGGTCAAAGGCAGCACGCTGTCAGTGAGAGCTCCACAACCTTTCCTAAGGGAGCTCATGAAGGCACGTACTACGTTAATCTTGGCCTTATGGTACCACGTTCATCATAGCAGACCTTAAAATTAACATCTCTGAAACCCTAGGCGTTCAGCATCTGGGCTGGTAAGAAACACAGCCCCCAGAAAGAGTCTAGTAAAAACGCCGTATAACTTAACAGGATGCAGTGTCACATTATGTGGCCGAAGGTCCATCTGTTGCTGTGCTGTGACAAATGCAAACCATCTGGATTTAGCCTCGTTTTAAGCAGTGTGAACTAAATATCTTACAAATCATTTGGGTTGCAAAAGACAAACTGCAACAGGCAGGGTGAGAATTTCTGGTTAGCACTCGATTTTTTTTTTATTAATTCATCCACGTCCAGCTCTTTGTCCCAGTTTCTCAACTGGATTTCAGCCCATGATGGATAATAATGATGCAACTGTTTGTTTGTGCACCAAAAACTGGGATGATATTAATCTAGAAAGTTGAAACTGGTGAGGCTCCTTCTGCCAGCCTTGCTCACCTGAAGAACCCTCAGCTGCCTGTAGAGTGAGGAGCTCCTTTTAATATAGGGGCTTGAAGAGTTTGGCTTGTGTACGATGTCTCTGTCATGTCACGTTCTAGGTAAAGGCATCACTCACTTTTTTTCTTCCCCCATCTGACAGCATAAATTCTCCTCTGACAAGTGATTTTACTGTTATTTTTTTAGTGGCTGGTTCTATACAGAGCAAAAGCCCCCGTCTGGATGTTCTCTGTTACCTTTGTGACAGATTAGGCTTGAACCACAGAGTAAAGAGGCAGCAGTTTATTATCCTTTCATTTGCCCTCGTTTAGGGAAGGGTGTTTGCCCCCAGCCACACTAACGCATGTTTTATTTTTCTTCTGTCTCTCAGAGATGCCTTAACAAAAATGAAAGATGTGTATATCAAGAACCCGCAGATGGGAGATGCAGCAAGCGTGGACCACAGATTAGCAGAACTTGGACAGAACATTGAAAAGTTACGATTAGAAGTTCAGAAATTTGAGGTATGGGAAGAGACATTTCAGTAAAAAGTAGCTCGGCATATGCTCTGTTCTAAGCAGATGCTTCATTGATGTACCAGATCTATTGATGCATTTTCTTATTATGTATGGGTAAGTGCTACTTAAGCACTTGGATTAATTGAGATCTTTGAGCCTATTTGTGTAACATAGATTTATAGTCTTGACAGCCAGACAGAAGCCATCAGATAAATGATGTTTTAAGGAATAGTCTGCCATTAACAGGAATCTTCTTAGAGCTACAAAATCTCAAGAGCATAAGGAGTTTTTGGAATATATGAAGCTGTTATAATTGCCCAAGAAGGATTATAGGGCTGAGAAAAGAATTCACTCTGTAAGTTACATTATGTATATAAATAGATACAGCCTGTTAATCTTAGATGCTTCTTACAGTTGTTGGCTTTACTGTCCATTGCTTTCTTATCCATTTGAAAATCACTGGGTCTTCCATTCTCCCCAGCTTTAGTCCTCTTGCATTCAGCAGTCACTGAGATTGCTGTGTTTCTGATGTTACTGAGACTACTATAAGCTGCCACGAGTCTTTTTACTTTATTGTGACTAGAGCAGCAGCATCTCCCAACAGCTGTTACTAACTGCTTCTCTTGGGTCACAGTGTTTTCAGCACCTGGTATATTTAATATACACTTAAAGTACAGAATCTATAGCCCCAACAACTGCAACTGAAAGGAGCTTACAATCTGGTCTTAGTTCCATAGTCTGAATGTCAAAGATAACACAGCAAAGTAAAAGGAACACATCCCCTTGGAAGTTGAAGCACGAGAGATGGATGAGACTGCTTTCCCCCCGCAGGGCTGGCTGGCAGAGGTGGAGGGCAGGTTACCCATGCGGACTGAACAGGCCCGGCGGCAGAGCGGACTGTATGAAGCCCAGAACACTTCAGCAGTCAACAGCTGTGCGCAGGACCGGGAGAGGTACAGTATCTGTATGGAGCTGTCCTGGTCAGGTTGATAACTGGACTTGTTTTCCCTGGCTTGTTAATCAGGAAAGCTGTAGCTCTGCAGCATTCAGAAACTTAATCTATAACCAGACTAAATGCAGGCACTCCATGAAGTGTTTTGCATACTGATTTTAGCATATGCAAGATCCCAACTTTAAGAGCTGCTTTTCTGAATATGATGAAATGTGTAATAGCCCCTACACTCACTCATTTTTTACAGCTTTTGATGGGAAAAATGACTGGTCCCACCCATCACTACAGTTGCTCACCTTGCCTTAAGTCTCTGGCAACCAAGTCGTTCTCTTTGCTCCTGAGATTGGTCGCTATAGTTGCTGTGTATTTTCCTCTCTTGAGCAGCCCAGATGGCAGTTACACAGAGGAGCAAAGTCAGGAGACTGAGATGAAAGTACCTGCAATGGATTTTGATGATGAATTTGATGATGAAGAACCACTACCCACCATAGGAACATGTAAAGCGCTCTATACATTTGAAGGTATCACTCAGACTTTACTTCTCATTTCACTTACTGTTTAGTTCATGTGCCAAGGACAAGTGGGAAGCCTTCATTTAACCCCTGCAGTGCTTAAATAGACAAAGAAAGGGCAAGCGAGGCTCTGGCGTGATTCTGTTTTGTAGAGAGGCATTAAGACAGTGATTTGTCTTCTGTTACGCAGGGACTCTGCAAGAAAAAGAACCAAAACTCTGAGGTCAGGATCGCATTCATCTGGTTCTTTGTGTACACACTCTTGTCTCTAGAATCACGTGCTCTTGTTCTTGCTGCTAGTGATGCAGCGAAAGTTGTGTTAGCACGTAGTCCGAGTGTGCCCTGAGCACCATGTACTGCGTCTGCAGTTCCCATTGTGCAGGACAGCCTAAACTCCATGTTATTGTGTCTTTCAGGTCAGAATGAAGGAACAATTTCTGTAGCAGAAGGAGAAATGCTCTATGTAATAGAAGAAGACAAAGGTGATGGGTGGACACGAATCCGAAGGAACGAAGATGAGGAGGGCTATGTTCCCACGTCATATGTTGAAGTCTATTTGGACAAAAATGCCAAAGGTGCTATGACTTATATTTAATACTATTATTATTACTTTATTTGTTTTCACAGAGTTATCCAACTCTGAAACTGCTCTGTGTTGCAGATAGAGCCTTTTAAAAGTCTGTACAGTGCCACAAAGTGCATTATTTTGTACATGGACTAATATGGCTTGCTGTACTGCAAAACATACTTTTTATTGATCAGAGGAGGACAGCATGGTAGACTGTAAAGCTAGAGGGGAAACACAGACTTTCCTAGACAGTGCTTGTTCAGCTGCCACTGTTGCACGCCTAACTTAGTGCAGGAAACACAAAGCCATTTGGGATAATACAGGCTCTCCTCAGATATCCAGGTGGCATCTCAGACACACTCACAACTCAGCTGTTTGTCCCAAACTGATTCAGTGGAACGTTACATAGGAAATACTTAGACTGCTGTTTTGTGTCTCAGTGTGGTAGCTTTTCAGAGCCTATGTGTTCTGTGGACCTTTTGGATTGAAGCTTGGTCATCATTTAGTTAGCGTGTTTGGAAGGGGAAGAAGAAGTTGCCAAAACCTGTCTACACAGCACTCCGTGGTCCTTGATAAATTGGTAAAACATTGACATTAAGAAAGATCCTCTAATCTTTCCCACCTTGATACATTTCAGAAGATGTATTTGCTGTTTCAGATGACCATAACTAATGGTTTAATCTGTTGCTCTCACACGATCAATGGAGACATTCAGAGTTTATAGATTTCCACAAGTTTCTATTTCTCTGTTGCTTTTAACTCCTCACGAATAGGTGCATTGCGTAAGCAAGCGGTGCTACTGGGAATCCTGCCTAGAATATGTGCTAGCACTATGAACACCTGGTAACACCAAGAAATCAAAAGATGTTAGTCCTGTTTCAAATCAGGATGCATTTGAAGTCCACTGTTAAATGATTTGTGTTTTTTCAGTCACTTAGTCCTTCAGATTATTGGTGTTTCCTAGACCTCAGAGTTCTTGGTGTGAAACAAACTGCCTCATCCAATTCAAAAGAAAACTGAACCATTCTCATTGGGATTTATGGAGGGTAGGAAGAGTAGGACTGTCTCTGTAAACAAACACTGTAACTTCATCAATTCAGTGTCTTGGATTCAGTATTAAACAGTGCAGTGCCTTGTTTGCTGCAGATAAGTCTGAGGTCTTGCTTTATTTTGCCATAATACCGTAGTTTATGTTTGTGTTGGCAAATACAGGGTCAGTTGAGATGCAAGAGAATGCAAAAAGCTCAGCCCTTCTGTTGGTTTTTATTAACCTTTGAAAGAGGAACACGGATTGTACATTCTCCTTACTTCATATTCAGAACAAAGCAGAAAGCACAGAATGGGAGATCCCATCTCTTATCCCCATGTTCTCTCCTATGGAGATCGACTGCTTTGTGTGAGGCAATAGTTGAAAGCAACGTTATTATTCTGCTGGAAAATTTGTTGTTCAGCATGGTAGGCTGCTTGAAACAGCTAAGCTAGTGTGACATCTAAATCTGTCTTAAGTAACAGGCATGGCTCTCCTGCCCTCAGAGACGCAGCGTGATTCACGTCAGAGGAACGTGACAGCAGATCACCCATTTACCAGCAGAGCAGCAGGTTGGGTGGGAAGCAAAGCAAAGTGTATGTCTGGGTGGGGTGAGAAGCCCTGACACAGTCCTGCTAACTGAACTAGCGAAAGTTTGTCTTTCATTTACCCTTCTGGAAAGAATATTGCAGTACCAGCCAGAAAAACGGTATTAGTACGTTAATGGTGTTATGTAAGTGACAGGATGATGCTGAATGATTGTAAGCATGTAGTTTGTGCTGGGAGTTAAGGCTGATACAGTTGCAGCCACCTCTGTAGCAATGATGGAGGTTTTTCAGATCATTTAAGTATTTCCATTAATTTTGCTGGACTTCAGGAACAAAATCAAATGTATCTGTGAATATCTAATATAAAGGCACTATAACATTTACCTCTTCTATTTCTCAATTCTCTGGTTAAAAAGAAAAGCTAAAAGAGAACTTCCCATAAAATGTCCCAATAGCAGTATAAAGATTTGGGGAAAGTGCTGCTGTGTTTAAAAGACAAACTTTTTTGCAAGCTGCAAATGTCTCATCTGATTTTTAATATATTAGTAGAAGTGACTTTATTCAGTCCTTGAAACAGAAGCCATGTCATTCCTGAAAACGACTCTCTGAATACTAAAGTATTTACAAACTTTGGTAGTTCTTTCCTCTTTTTGGAAAGAAGCTTGAGCAGCTGATACCTCTAAAGGTTCGTTGCGTGAAGGGTGGGAGCTTTCACACCAGCTCCGAGTTGTAGGCAGCAGAATTGGTTCTGGCTTGGGCGTACCGGCCCGACCGGGCTGTGCCGGTGCCGTCAGTCGGCCGCAGCTCTGCCTGAGAAATGCAACAGCCAAACGCTTTGTGAAAAGCCGCTTGGCAGCTGGCGAGCTTTTTCCGTTAGCTGAAGCCTGCGTTGTCAGGGCTCTGATGCCGAACCTCAGCTCGATAGGACAGGTAAGTTGTGTGCTGCGGTCGCCCTCCTGATCATAGTGTTCATGGGAGCCAGGCCTGCGTACTCCTGAGGGCTGTTTGTAAAGTTTACAATGGTGCCTTCGGTCAGAGGGTGTTAGCAAACCCTACCACAAAAAGAACAGTAATGTCTATCTTGTTTTGCCTTTTTTTTTTTTTTCCAGATGTGTACAAATCACTTCAGAAAATCTCTGAGTAGGTTTGCATAGGCCTGTTCACCTTTTATTCTACTGGTTTGCTGCTACGGTTGTTTTAAGAGCTCTATTTCAGAAGGTTTTCTTTAGAAGAGATGAATGCACATGTCATATCTCCATCAATGAAAGACTCTGTTAGGTACCGGTCACTCAGCTGATGCGTGTATAAGTTCGCCTCTTGAATTTTAAATGTGCATCACTGCCGATGAAAGTACTGGTCCGACTGTATCAGTTCAGTTGTAAACAGCATTACTGTCCTTCTTAATAGAAATGAGAGCCACACCGTTCAATCTCTTTGGGGTACATGCAGGAAACTCTTATAAATGCTAAAAACCATGCAGACTAAGAATTGGATCTGTTGGATGTAAACTCATGTTTTGGGGCTTACTCCAACCCCTAACTTCTAGGGGATGAGGAAGAAAACTCCTCTGTGCACACATGGCTGTACCTTCTTGCAGGGCTTTTCTGCGACTGTCAGGTATCTGGTGCTGACAACTGTCAAATACAGGAACCAGTTGGGCCTTTTTGCTCAAGATTGACCATACTGTGTTACTGAATATGGTACCTCATAGTCTTCTTGGGAACAAATCTGTCTTTCACTGAGGGATGTTGTGAAATAGTGGGATACACAAAAGAACTGGCATGAAAGAACCAGCTTTATATAAACTCTCCATTGCACCCAACAAAAATGCCATGTTTGCTTCCACCAGAAAGACTGGCTGTTTGGCTGACATGCAAGTAATAGAGGCTGTTTTGTGAAGTTAAACTTCCTGATAAAAAAATTGTGGAGCCATGGGCTGATTAGCGTTTCAGCTCCTTTGCCGCTGTGGGTCTGTTCCTCCTCACCTCCAATTATATCAATAAATCCTTACAGACAGCTCTGTGATTCTCATTGTTGCAGCTCTGCTGTTTTGTTTGCTGTAAACCGTTATGCAGAGCCTTGACTTAAATAGGTAAAAGTTAACCATGCTGATGCACTTTTTATCTAGGATATATCTGATTATTTAATGCTTGCCAAATTATTTAGGAAACAGTAATTATAAACTGGACTGTGGCTTTTAAAATTCCTTTTGTTAAATACTTGCCCTTAGTTCTCCCAGTATAAAAGAAAAATTGTATATAACATAACTTAAAAACTACTTGAATTTGAATTGTTTTTATCCTTTTATATATGTATAAATATAAATGGTTTTATAGGCTATTCTTCTGCTTAACCTAGCTGTTGTTTTGATAACTACTCAGTCCCTCTTACGTTGATAAGCGGTTTTGGTTACTCAGCTGCCTGCATCTGGTTGGACTTGCGTAGAAACTTTTGTTTTGTGTTAAGGTTTGTTAAATCTGGCCAGTGTGGTTGTTTCCTTTCTATTCTTATTTTTTAAAGAATCATCATCTGTCAGGAATCTCTTTATAGCTTGATGTACCATGGTGTCTTCTTCTAATAAACATTATATTTTCTCATTCCCGTGAGGGTGTTTTATTTTTTTTAATGGCAATTTAAGTTTAACTTTACTAAGGGAAAGCAAAATGCTTTTTGCCTGCATCCTACACTAAGTACAAATGCAGTTCCTTTTCAGGAAAAAATTTTGTTGTGGCTCTGTAAAAACTTTTTTGTGCTGTCATTTGGAGGATTTTTTTTTTTTCTCTTATGGAAGTCGGTGCAAAGCAGATGGGAAGGTTCCCCTGCTCTCTTGAATGCAAGACAAGTTTGGATTCATCCTGTATTCCCTTGGATACCGCAGTCTCTTTGGCCAAATCACAATTCTGGATTGTAGCTTCACTTGGCCGCAGAGAAAACTTATCCTCAGCCAGGACTCTGTGGGTACAGGAATGTGACGAAGGATGGGTTTAGAGGCTAAGACTGCTTTCACCTGCCTGTTTATTTTTGAGCTTCCCTTAAGCATGAAAGGTCTTTGCAGCCTGTTGTGGAAAGGATAGCTGGTCTGGATTTGTCTGCAAAATTCGTTGTTTTAGCTTCCTGTTGTTATTCTTCAGTATCGTTCATGGTCTCTGGAGCTGTCACTTGACCAGATACAGTGCCCCTTTGCAGACTGAAAATTAAAAAGCCGTTTTTTTTCTCTGTTGCACTAAAAGTGCTGGCAGGGTCGTGCTCCCGAGTTTTACATCCTCCTCTCGAGGAGAGCAGTGTCCCAGTGATGCTCATCCCCAGGCTGGCGGGAAGGGCTGAGGGTTAATGAGTACTGTGTGAGTGCTGGCAGTGTATGCCCGAGGTCAGGAGCCTTCCTTAACCCCTTGGCACCTGGTAGATGCTTGGATGCTGTATTTCCTTTAACCTCCTGCAGGCAGAGCTACTCTTAAAGGATTCCCTTTTCCCCAGCCTCTTTCTAATCCAGTCTCTTTCTTTTTGTCTTTCTTATGTTTTAGATTCCTAAAGGTGTTTGTGCTGGTGCAAGAACCTCGGGGCGAGCTTGTCACAGAAGGAGAAACAAAATGGTCTGTTTACCCTGCAGGCAGTTAAAACACACTCATGGAAAGCCAGACTCCCAGTCTTGTCTGGAGTTCCCACTTGAAAAATTCAGACCTAAATTCCATCCCAGTATCATTCAGATGCTTGCTCTTTTTCATGGCATGCTACTTGTGGCTCAGATTAACTTATCAGCCTTTCCCACTCTTCTGCTAGCTTCGCCCCTCCGTAAAACATAACCAACACTTCTCGCCCACCAAATTCCTCCCAACACCGGTCAAAGAACTGCTGGCTGCCCTTTGATGCTGAGGGTAACCAGAGAGTCCCAAGCATGTGCTGGTCTGTCTTCTGTCCTCCTTTGTCCCTCAGTCCGTCTGAATGTATGCACTGGTCCATCAGCATCTCACACGGTGCCTTTAGTGCTAACCCTGCAGGTACTCTCATCAAATAGCGTGGGAGGGAGGTGCGTACAGGTGGAAAGCCTCCCCTGGGAACAGTGTTACAGCAGCTGGACCGGGCTCTGAATTTGCACATATTAAATTGCATCAACATGCATTATTCAATATTCTACTTTCCCCAAAAAGTCACTAATACTTGTCAGCCTTTATTTTTTTTTTAAATCTAGGCTGATGCTCACTCCAACTATTAAATCCCTATGACCTTGCTGTTTCCTGAAAGCCTCCAAGCTCACGTATGTACGCTTGTTTTCCTGCTTGTTCTCTCTGCCCCCTCCTCTTTATTCCCTCTCCTCTCTCCCTCCTCTTTCTCACACACACACACACAGACACACACAAACACAGACACTGGCATTTTGGTTTGAAGCCCCATTTTGCTCGTCACAAAGACCTCCGTTTTGCTCTCGTTTCAGTCTGCATGCTCGCCCTGTTGCCTTGCCTGCGCCCACCTTCCTGAGGGTCACGTTATTTTGTGGCTCGTTGTTAATCTCTGCAGTTTTCTTTTGTTGGTTTGTTTTTCAGCATTTCAGACTTGCCTTCTCCTTTTGCATGACCTCTTGTGCGTTCTCATCAGTTAATGTTTGAATAACAGAATTTTTTTAGAAAAAATAAAAGAGAAAAGAAAAAAGAAACCGCACTCTATTTCGTTCTCCTACCTTGTCATGGACTGGACCTCGACCCCGAAGCCAGACAGGAATTGTGACCATCCTGTTCTCACATGGTTTTAGTTGAAGCAGAAGTAGCAAGATGAGGGATGCTGCACTTTATCATGCCGTGCAGTGGAGAGAGAGCTATAGTATCTCCAAATATCACATGATCTGGACCTCAACTGCCTAAGAAAGGGTCAATTGGTTTCTAAACGTCTCTGTTATAGCTGTTGATTTCCCCCGAGTCCTTACTGTTGCTACATTTTACAGTCGACTTGTACGTGTTTGAGGCCTGTAAGAGTCAGTTGCTGCTAGCAGCTCCTGAGGGCCTAACTTAGTCGTAGATCAACACATCATTTGGGGGAATCTGCTGGCTTTTAGTGAACTTCAGCATATTTTGTAAAACCCCCAGAATTTGAGAAAATTGATATGGAAGCCACTATGGGCAGTGACCCTAAAATGAAACCTCTCAGGTTTAGTTTGCGGACAAACGTGTGTGGCGTTTTGCTGCCTGTTGTGCTTTTGTGCAGGGTCAGCGTATAGAAACGTGTCCAAGAACCACGTACTCTCCATGCTGGTGGTTGCCTAGGCTGTCCCCACTCAGGATGAAGTAACTTTTGAGTTGGGTTACATGTTGTGTTCATAACCCTGTCCCTTTCTCTCCATTCAAGATACCGACTATTATTTTTAATAGCACAAAGTCCCTCAGTCCTACAGTTAGTACTGTAGCTCTTTGTATTACGGTGCTTAACATCTGCAAGCATCAACCAGCAAAAGGTTATGTTTTTTAATCGAATTCAAGTGGCTCAGGATCCTGCACTGAGAAGCAGGTGATACCAACACTGGGGCCGTTCAGCTACAGTGTTAGCAGCGTCCAAAGGGTCTTAATCAATTAAATTACCATCCTTATCATTGCTGCTACTGTGGTCACTTAACTGTTTAGATCCATGAGCCTCTGATAGCAAAATGTGATCCACACGGTTGGAACTTGTGGTTTTGTACAAAGATTCATGCAAAGGCTTTGTTGCATCCGTCTATCAGGGGATCTAAATGGTTAAGCAGTTAACAGATGTGCAAAAATATCTTTAAAATATTTTTAGCTGCAGTATTTTTATTCTCGTGTCCAATGCACTGTTGAATCAGCAGCTAGAAGAATTAATTTTCACCTATCGTTGTGCCATCTATGTAAAAATTAGATAAAAGTTTGCTTTTATATATTTAATCTAGGTGGACAGTATATTATTGTCAGCCTCTGTGGAACATTTGAACAATTGCAATGTCTGTGTTGCTAAATAGTGCTTTAGAAGGAGCATTAGCTTTAGGTGACTGATTTTCTTCAAAAGTTTTATTAAAAGGCCAGGTATGGAGTTTTTATAAACTTGGCAACTAGCTCCCGAAAACCCGGATCTTAAAACTTACTGCAAGAAAAAACTAGCAGCAGTCATGTATTGTAGCCTACACGTTTATTCCGCTGCCTTTGTTCAGGGTAACAAATGAGTAATTTTTGTAGGATTTACCTTTTGCAAAATCTGAAGGACTAAATACGTGACTGGTTTATAAAAACTCTGCTTGACTTTACTAATCTTGCCCAGAAGCGCGGCCTGTACATCCTACGAAATCTCATTATCCCCAGCGAAAGTCTCTAATGCCCTTTCTTAACACCTGTAAATAGAGAAGAAACATATTTACTGATACTGAAAGTTGTGTTTAATGCTGAGTATTTTTCAGAAGTTCATTTAGTTTGATGCATATTGTTTTTTGGTTCTTGTTTTCCTGCCTGAAGTGTCAAAAGACCTAAAAGAAGCCAAATTCTATTTTAACATGATGATGTCGAGCACTTTTTTATTTGTATATGTGTGTGTATGTGTGTTTGAGCACTGATCTCTAGATTTTGGTGGCATCTCAGTGTTTGTGATTTCATTGCCAATGTAAAAGGTTCTGGTGTTGCCCATTCATTTCTGGAGACAGAATTCAACCAAATAAAGTGCTTCCATTTGAAAGCGAATATTGACCTTGTAACAATGAAAAGAAAGTCATCCACATATTTAAATAAACATTTAATTCCAGAAATACAGTTTCACTGGACCCTTTTGATCATCCAGAGAAGAAGAAAAACGGTTTTGCCGCTTCCCTTTCCCAATGAAAAGGCTACGCCTCGCTGCCGGGGCTGCTCGGACGTGCTGAGCTGGTGTAGCCCTTGCTCCCCGGGGAGCTTTCCGCCTTACCGCAAACGTTTCCAGTTGAGAACGGGCATTTAGCTGTGACTTACTGTTTCAGCCAGATAAAATTTTATAGCCTGAAACTCCCCATAGCTGCTCTCTTACTCCTCGTTACTCTCCTTGACTATGGGATGGATTTAGGTTTTGCTTCCAGCTGTAACATTTACGACAAATGCGCACAAACAGCGTGTTCAGCGGGGTGCTTGTGCCTGGCTGCTGCTGACACAGATGATGAATTCTTACTCGGGGTACTTGGGGGGGTGTTTTGGGTTTTGCTTCATATTATTTCATACTGGAATTTTCAGGTATTTGAAGTATTAATTTGGCTCTGCCTGTACTTTGACTGTCCCATCCTATGTAGCTAGTTCCCATCTGGTCACCTTGAGGCGCAATTTTATCAAAATTTTCCCTTTCCAGCTGGCGCTGAAGAGAAACTGAAGTGGTTGGGGTTTTTTTTTTTTTTATTTGATCATCTGAGGAGAAAAAAAAATGGACTGTCCTGGTTGGAGGAGTTGGTGTACTTGGGAGAGAGAAGTGGGTCTTGATTTCTCCCCGCCCCACTTCAGTAGGAGGCCACGAGAGCTGGAAACTTGGGGAAAATACTTCCTCTGATAGAGTTGTACCTTTGAATGCTTTGGTTTCACTGGAATCTTGGCAGATGTTTTTGATACTGATTGTTTATGTATGAAAACTAAACTTGTTGCAAGCCCAGCAACTAATGCACTTGTGCATGTACGCGTGAACACGCAGATGTACAGAACGCAGTCGTGTTTCCCTTCACCAAATAAGCTGAAACCCAGACGCGTTCCTGTGAAGTCTGGGTGAGGATACCGACAGCCCCGTGTGTGTCTCTCGCCAGCTGAGACAAAACCCCTGGCCAGGTTCTGGCCGCCTTCGCCATCCCCGTTGGCCCTGTTCGTTGGAAATAGCCTCATGTAGGAGCCAGGAGGGTTGGCAGTTGTACAGCTCGTAGTAGGTGACACCTGGCTGATAATTTCATTTGAAACAGCTATATACTGATTTCTTTTTTTCCCCTTAAGGTCAGGTTGCTGGGTTTTTTTAAACAGAATTTCAGTTGTTCTTTGCCAGCGCTAATTAACATCCCTGTCAATTCAGGACAAATCAGTAGTGTTTGTGAAACAGTCTGCTAGTCTTTGCATTTTGGGGAAATAACGAATAGGAGGGGGTGTCCATCTGGCTCTGACTTGGGTTTATCTTGCACAGTATGAGCATTGCTAACTTTAAATAGAAACCAAATGTGTGACTGAAGGCTGGAAACTGAAGCCAAGCTGAGCAATAACTGGGAAGAAAATAAAATGAGCTTTAGAGGTGCCAGGAGCGTCACTGAACGCCTCGGAGCGTAGGGGATGCTGTGTGGCCATTTGGGGGGCTGGAGGATGGGCTGCTGGCAGCCACGGGCCGCAGAGCAAGGCTGTGGCCTCATGAAGGTGAAGCGGTGGGGTACGCGCACGTCACTGGTGGAAGAGCCCGTTCCCCTTTCCGTGGGCTGAGACGTGACGCACACGTCATAAGGTGAGAGCGTGGGGCGGACAGGGCAGGGTACTTGGTACCCGTGTGTCACTGCTCCGCTGCGTCCAAATCATCTCTGTTCGTCAGGGCACAATCCAGGCGTGAGAGGTCGAGGGCAGAGGAGCAGCGCCTGTAAACCGAACTCCCCCCTGCTCCCAGAGGACGGGGGGAGGGAGCAGATGATCCAAAGGCAGAGGTTGGCTCCATCAGTCCAGCGCACAAACAGTTCCTTCAGCTCCCCTTCCTTGCAGTCAGCAAGGGACTTGATATAAATTAAGGGGAAAAGGTAGTGATTTGCAAAAAGAACCGGTAAGAGTTCAGCCGTAACGTTCAGCTTACGCTGGCAGCAGGTCCCAAGGCTAGCTGGGTCTGAGACCTGTGCTCGGAAATAAGTCGCTGCCTACCGTGGGAGTTGGAGAAAAGCAAGGCTGCAGTCAGATTTCAAGTGAAATAAAGATGCAGAACTAAGCTTTGAGTGTTTAACGGACAGAGGGTAACAAAAAGTACAAGTATGGTTCTGCCAGAGCAGACTAGAGCTGTTTGTCTAGACACTGCATAATCCCCTCCCTAGGGGAGGGCGTTCGTTAGCGGCTCCTGGAACATTTCGAGCTGTTCTGCAGTTGCTGAGGTGACGGGGTTTGTTTGCGAGATGCAAGTTTTGACGGTTGACTTCAAGTCGCTAAAGAACAAGCTGCGTGTTCTTAGTAACCCAGCTCGAGCTCCATTTCTTCAGATATTTCAGGCTTCAGGTATCAGGGTGTCATTCACCGCTCTGGCAGAGAACCGTTCTGGACCTCCAGCCCCTGGGGCAGCGCTGGAATCGCCGGCCTGCTTTAGCGACTCCGTTAATGGACCGTGGCAGAACCTGGTCACGGCCTGGCAAGAGCACGGCCTTTCCTGGGGCCGCGGTAGCAAAGCTGCCTCACGTGTTCCCCGGGGAGTGGATTATATCGGTAAGGATGTTTTAGCCACGCACAGACCGACACAAAAACTCTCTTGTAGAAACCTAGAACAGCTCAATGAAACTTCAGCTGCTTCCCTTGCAAACTGCTGTCAGAGCGGCGAAGGTCAGGAATAGCTCCCGCTTCCAGCCAACGCGGGCTTCCTGAGCGCGGCTCAGCTGAAAGCGGGTACGTGAGACCCGAAGGGGGAAAGCGTCGTACGCAGGGACCGAAAGGAGCAGGCGCCCTCCGCCGAGCCAGCACATTACGGTTTGGTGGACTTGGGCTACCGAAGCTCACTGCTGCGCAGAAGGATCTGTTACTGCAGGGCCTCTTGGCAGCAGGAAGCTTGGATTTCTTTTTTAATTTTTTGTTTGTTTGTTTGTTTTTCTTCATTAACACCATAAGCTCCCTCTCACCACGCAAGGCAGGCAGCAGTCAGCAACGTGTTGAATGCACATGTATTTATTGTAACACATTTTCAGCACGAAGTATAACATTAAGCACAGGAGTGTTATTACAATCTGTACAGCATCCTCTGAACGGCACAGACAACACAGACATGCAGCCCTCCAGGCTCTGCAGCAGATTCGAAGGCGGCTGCAGTGGCTAACAAAGACAGCTTAAAACAATGAGCAATCCCAACAGTGGCTCATTCTCTGACCTCCCCTCGGGCCTGGCTGGGTATATACACGCATCCAATAAAGAGGACAGTAAGATTAACATGCTGAACCATTTACAGACACTTTTTTAAAGAAGTTGCTGTTTGCAGCAAACGTTTGGTCTAAAAAAAAAAAATAATAATCTGAAGGCCACATTTTTCTTTCCAAATTTCCAAACACCCTTTCCCACCTTCTATCTCTAAGTCAAAGAGGAACCTTTCCCCCGCCCCGCCGCCTTTTCCATGCGGAGCTCAGGAGGTCCCAGCCCCACGCCGAGCCTGGTACCACCAAGGCCAGACTTGATGCTGTGGAATCGTTCAGGTTCCAGCACTCTGAACACACGGTTTGGTTCCTCAGCCCATGAGAGGCCACCTCTGCCTTGCTCTGCTTCCCTTAAATTGCACTCAAAACACTTGCAAAGATTTAACTATTGCCTTTCTGGCTTGAGAGCTGAACAAAGAACTTTTAAGAACAGCCCTGCTGAGAAAAGTAGAGTTTAGTCTTTTTTGTCTTTGTTTCTCTCTCCAGTGCCTGCTATCAGATGCTTCTCGGCTGCATTAGTGGCAGTAGACTGGGGAGCAAGTTATTTCTGTTCATTAAATGAGCCACTGTAGGCACAAACGACATCTGTGTTGAGAAGCTGGAATGACCTCAGCACGCAGGTGCGAGCTTGTTTGCAAAAAGCAGCTCACTCCTGAAAAGCTGCTTCAACAGCCTGGGGCCTGCTCAGCCAGGCCCCTTCCCCGGCACTGAATTACCGCCCTGTCCGAGGACGGCCCGTCCGAATAGGCCCTGTGCGAACAAACGGGCTCCTCCCCGTCCGTCTCACCCCCTTTGCTTTGCACGACAGACGTGGGGATCCAGGCTTAGGGCAGGATCAGTCCGAGGAGGGGGTTATGGACCAGGAGTCCTAAAGTCTGCCTCAGCGCTGTCCTGTGTCCCGCTCCAGCCAAACAGCTCGGAGGTTAAGCTGCTCGTGTACCACCCCTGTGAGCTACCCCCCCCCGGGAGGCTGCCTCCCACAGCTACAAAGCTGCCAGGAGCTTTAGCGGAAAGAGTACAGTGGGAAGGAGGACTCACTCTTCCAGCTCTGTTCTCTGAAAACGTCTTGAAGACATGACATCAGATACAAGGAGAAAAAAAATTCTGCAGTGGCTTTAGGGGCTAGGGGAGAAACAAACGGCCTCTTTCAAAATTTCTTAGTTGATTGCAACTGAATGTGCAAGAATTAGATAAAGAGCAAAACTAGGAAGTTGTGACAGCTGTGCACCACCAGCACAAAACTACCGGGAGACCTCGTGGCTTTAGTCAGCGTCAAGTAACAGGTTTCTCTAGTTGCAACACTGCCCGCTGGAAACATAAATAGTGTTTCATTATTTTTGTACATTTGAGTTAAAAAGAAAAGTGCCAAACACAAAACCTGCAAAGGAGCAGAGACTCATTTCACTGGGGACAAGCTGGGAGTGCTGGTTTCTTGTAAGCAAACAGAAGGGAGAGGGCTCGGGTCAAAACATACCTAGTGAAGTTGGGCTGCGGTCTCGTACCACAGCTTTATCCAGAGAGGAGTTACAGAGAAGCTGCTTTTCTCCCAGTCCTGCCCCGCACCACCCCTCTATTCAAAGCCACGTGAAATGGCGGCAGAGGAAACCTGCCTTCCCCAAAGGGGTGGTGGGAGCTGCACACGACTTCGAGTACCAGACAACAGAAGAGGCTTGACTCCTCAGGATTCCCCAGCCTTCCATCCCCACACGGACGCATCTGTGCCATACCTTCCCTGCCCCATCCTGCACAGATCACACAGCCCGTGTCTCCGCTTCAATCTTCTGCTCCCCGTGTAGGTTTTCCAGTTCTTGGACCTGGGCCACATTCTGTCTGATAGCAATCTCCGGGCCCCCTCCGTACAGTGTGCTTAAATAAATCCATGTCTCCTCGGAAATCTGCCCGTAGTCAGCACCTGAAAGGGACAACAGCAGCCATCAGCCGTAGGCTCCGGCTCTGTGCAGCTGTCGGAGGGAAAGCTTGGTGCACCACAAGACAAGGACATCCTCCTCTCCAACCACCTCCCCCTGCTCGCCCTCAGGAAAAGCCAGGCAGGAGCGGTCCCTGCAGCTGCACGGTCCAGACCCACCGAAGCCCCCGCCCCACGGGGAGCCCTGCACGGCACAGCTGTAGCCACCGCTGTAGCCACAGTGGTCTCCACCAGCCCTCGGCAATGCCGTGTGCTGCTGGAAGCCACCGGGACTCCCCGGCAGCGTCACCGAGTGCTGTGGGGTCCTGCTGCAGCCCCTTCGTCCTGTCCCCGAGAGGAACTGAGCAGCAACAGCCCATGGCACCAGGGCCTGCCTGACCCCCCGCACATGGCCAGCAGCGAAGGAGCTGTGAGAGCCCAGGGGTGCTGCAGCCAAGCACTCGACACACCGGTCCCAGGCAGCTGGGGCTGCCCTGCCTGGGAGAGACTGAAACCCCCCCACCGAGCTGTCTGAAGAAGGACAAGTTCAGGTGGTCAAAGGACAAAGCAGGGAAAGCAGAGAGCTTTGCCGTAACGGTTACAGAGGAGGAGAAAAGCAGAAAGGGTTGTTTTGAGAGATAACCAAGATGCAATCTTTATCTGCTTGGCAGGAGAGCCCAGCGAGGACAGCACAAGCAACGTTACTTCACAAGCTGAACCACAGCAGATGCCGAGTAAAGACCAAGCCAAGAGCAACACAAGATCAAAGCTACAACGCTGGGCAAAGGGGGATGGTGGAAGGGGCCTGGGGAGGAGCAACAGCAGGAGGTGGGGGACTGCAAGCTTTACTGTAACAAGTCGCCCCAGCACGTTGGTCATGCAGGAGCTGCCAGTGGAGAACTGAGGTGGCTCACTGAAGGCAGTCAGCACTGGGACAGGCAGAGAACTGTCATCCTCTGCAATGACATCTCGCTCTGTCACTGCTTCGCTATGGACAGCTAGATCCAGTGGGACATTCTCCTTCACCTTCTAGAAACACTACCAGAGAGCAAGCACAAGCCTTACCCTGCTTAACTTGCACGTGGCCACCTGCTTTTGTAAGTGCAATCTTGCTGTTGTCAATTGGTCCGGGAGGCTCTGTAAGAGGAGAACAAACATGTCAAAAGCCATTCTGCTTTCCACATTGCCACCAGATTCAGCTTATTTCCCAAGCTAGTTCTCCTGTTATTTCTGCCTGCCCTTGGGGACCTGCGGTGGCTGGTGCCTGAACTCCGTTCAGCCTCGAGTCGTACCAGTCAGGTGCAGTGCTGACTGAGGAGGTGCACCTAGCAAACAGACCCGTTTTCATTCTACCTCTCACCCCTGACAGATTCCAGAGGTCTCTGGCTCCTTACCATTATCCTTCCCCTTGACAAATGCTTCCCACTCACGGAACCACTGCATGCTGATACAGTAGATGACACTTGGAGACTCCTCTGCCTGGAAAGCCTTGTTCAGCTGGGAAAGCAGAGAAGAGAGATGTGCAGGAAGGATTTAGTCACGCCTCAGATCTGATGGAGCCCCTTCCGTTAACTGTAAGGCAGCCTTGCCATTCTCCAGAAGAACCCCATGTAATTCCACCAACTTCCTCACAACCTGTTCCTGCTCAGTACAGCAGGGAAGAGACTAGGACGGTTTCAAACTTTGTGTCTGGGTGCAGCCATGCACAGCATTATCGTGTTCCAGCTGCACCTCCCCATGCGGTTGGCACTGGGGAACCCCAAGGTCAATCTCCTGGCCATGCTGTAGATCACGTTCTGGAAAACAGGGGCAGGAGTTTTCCCCTAACTGTCTGTGACAGGTCTCCATTTCCCACCTCTGCCCTTCGCCATTGCTTCCAGATGCTTCCCATACAAACCTTGATGAAGGTGTCGATTTCAATTCTCCTGCGTTTGGCAAGTGCTTCAATCTCCACTTGGCAAATGGAGCACACGTACAGGTGGTTCACAGCAGGGCCACCCCCGAACCTGACCACAGGGAGAGAGGGAGGGGAATGGAGAACTGCAGGAGTGTGGAAATGCTTCCCAGCCCTGCGTTCTACAGAGATGGATTTCTGTACTTCTCCAGACACTGGTGAAGGAGGTGCATCTGCAGCTGAATGGAGAGTACGGCCTTTACTTAACACAGCGAGGGTCACAATATTGCTCTGGGGCAATGCAGCTCATTTTGGTTTACATTAGGAGGCTCTACCAAATACCAGTCTTTGCCAGTCCACAGCAAGTACTGCATGCCTTTAAGGTGCCCTGGGAAGGGATTATGTCTCAGTCACTGCCTGAGGTGTGAAACAAAAACCAAAACCCATTGGGAGAAGGAATGAAATGGCCATATTCACCTGTTGTAAAGATATTCCCACACGTTTTGCGGCAGAATCACAACCAGGTCATCGATGTAATGGTATTTATTAGGAGGGATCCCTGTGGAGGAAAGGTAAGAAGGGAGAGTTAACGAGAGAACTCATTGCTGGGTAAAGACACAAATAAAAAACTCTGACTACAGAATCTGCTTCCTTTGCTAATGGAAGACAGTTGAGAGTTCATTAATTGTGGAAGTTTCTCAATTCATGGCCTCAATTTCTAATCAAGTGCTTCATTTCCAATTGGAGATTTATAAACACGAGAGCTCCCCAGCGTGACAGATGAAGAAGCAGAACAGTAAAACGTGGTATCAGCTCTCTTCAGTAGCGTGTGCTCCATTCTGCAAACAAACACTGAAGGCCAACCTTGCTGATAGTGTAACATGGATAAATGCTGCCTTATCTGCTTTCTACAGGTTTGTTTTTAAAAATAAACAGAGAACTGAAAACTGTTGTTTCCCAGCGCTACACATCCCTCTGGGCCTCTGAGCAGCAGGACAACAGGGTAATTGTCTCATCTCTCCCTGAGCGGGCTGGAGTTTCTGCCAAAGAAGTGGATCCTACTGCAGCGTACACTGTGTCAGGATGACAGCTGGAGCTTTTTTTCTGCATTTGATAATGCACCACGAAGCACAAAGGTGCAGCTGAGAGCTGCTATTCCCAGGCCCCGCAGCGGTGCCTTACCTCCATGAGAGCACAGAAAGGTGTGATTGGTGATGGGACCAGGCTCAGCAAAGGTGTTGAATTTATTGAGCCACTCTCGAGAGATGTAGAACTGGAGTAAACTGTGCTCCTTCATGCTGGCAAGGGACACAACTTTCTGACGCTCTCGCACAGCTTCTTCACTGCTTTTCCTTAATTAGGGAAAGGAAAAGAAAATGAAACAATTCCTGAAAACTTAGTTTGCAAAATGAATTTCTAGGTATTCTGTAATCAGCAAGGGACCGCTGTATCCAGGGCACGGCTCACCTGTAGAACAAGACATAGGCTTCTGCATTCTGTACCACGGTCTCGTGGACTTCGGTGACGTACTGGTCATCAAACTCGTACCACTGGCCATTGATCACATTCTGGCAGTAGGCTATGTAATGCCCACCTGTAACAGAGAAAACACGACACTGCTGGGATTCGGAGTGCAGACAGAAGTCAGGCCTGGATTAATGTCAGCAGCACAAACAGGATTAGCTGCTGGCAGAGAATGGAGAGAGAGCCAAAAATAAAAAAAAATAGAAAGGCATAATTCCTGCTCAGGCAAGCTTTGCAGGGGCAGCGGAGCCTGGCACTGTCACCCTGATTTGCCTTCCCTGGAAGGGCCTCTCAGTGAGGCTGAACATCGGGAAAGGGTTTGAGCCAACCCAGTGGTGAGGCTGAAACAGCCGCAGGGGATCTCTCAGAAGCTGCTCAGTTCACTTTTCAAAGGGCAGAGGCTGAGCAGGCCTGGGAATGGAGGGAGCAGGCCTTGCTCTGCACTTCATCCCAGAAGAGGAGTTGGCTAGTCCTGGAACACACTTCTGCTTTGCTCATACTCATCCCCGTTCCTGTTCACCTCTGCCTGTACTCACAGAAGAAAGACTTACTGCCTGCTGTGCCGTGGTGACAGATGACTGACAGGAGATCGTAGGTGGTGATCTGGGAAACACACTCCTTGGCTAGGAAAGGTCGCAGATCCAACCCTTCCAAGGGGAAGGAGACATGACTGTTGATCTTGAAGGAATACATCACCTCATGCCGGAACCGTTTCAAGTGGATGCAAAGAATCTAAAAGACCAAGGACAGAGAACACCAAAGCGCAGTTTTGCCATGGGTATTCTGGTACAACAGCACATCTCTGTGTGTCTGACCTTTGCAAGGGTTCTTCGCCTGTTAGTCACGAATCCTGCTGGCTCATCAGCTTAGAATGGGGAAGCCATTTCTGGTCCTGATACAGGACTTTGCCACCAAAACAAACTGCTTTTTCTGTTCTACCTCCAGCCTCCTTACCTCCTCTGTGGCTGCTAAAAGAAAATTAGGAAACAAGGTGCTTTTACTCACCTCTGGTAGCCGGAGGACTTTGCAGTACTTTACTCCATTCCGCAGTCTGAGGGAGGAAAAGAAACTAGCTGTGAGAAATCTCTAAAGCAAAGGGATGCCAAAAGGCAAGGCTGGGTTCTTGCTCACTTTGAAATCCAAGACAAATCCTGAATTCCAGCAGCAATAAATTCAGGTTCTTTGCAGCATCCTTCCCAAATAAGGCATGGCATCAGTTTGTCATGCCTCTTCTTTCTAATACAATAGCTCCATTACTGCCAAGCCACATCCCTGTTCATGTCCTTCTTCCTTTCTTTTCCACGCCAAAGCCAGCACTTTTCCTATCTGCGATCGGTGACCTCTCAAGTCCAGAACTCCAGTATAACGCAAGGCAATAATACACGCCACTCAGCAGAAGAAACGTCCAGGCAGAGGGCATAGCAAAATGCTTGACAGCAGTACAGAGAAATAAAGTTCCATATATATAACATGATACAGGTAATGCAAACTTACTTTTTACACCGTTCACAACTGTACATGTTGTCCCCTGTAGACAAAGAGAAACAATGCTGATATAGCTACATTTCCGTCTAGTGCAGAGAAACCAAGTTAAGCAACCTCTTGGGGAAGCCAGGGTGAGAAGAGATCAACACAAACGCTTCTCTCAATGAGTGCAGGCAAGAAGAGAATGCAGTCAACTAGCAGAAAAGTATGCAATCGCCCACTAACACAAGTGAATACAGCAAATTGTTTGAGTCCTCTAGAGCTTAAGGAGTTGATGGAGAAAGTGAAGAAACTAAGGTGGCTAAGAAGTCACAGCACTCACAACCAATGAACGGCTATGGCTGCTCCTCGCTGAGGACACCCTCACCCAGATTTCCCACCCCTGAACAGGTGGAAAAACTCACTTCTGCTCAGAGATGCTGAACTGCCAACTTTTGGTACTGCCAGTCTCCAACTGAAATACTGAGGCAGGATTTCCATTAGATTTAATCCGCCTCCAAAATGCATGTGAAATACTCTTCCATGCAGTTTTCCTTGTTTTGTGCTGCCAGACCCCACTCAAGAAAACTCACCCTTCAATTCATCCGCTGCAAAAAAGGCAGCAAGGCAATCCTCCAGCGTCACAACAGGCCCCCAAAACCAGCTAGGGATACAGGACACCACAAGTCTGCAGAAGAGAGGGGATTAAGAGAAAGAGTTATACATAAAATAGCTGGACGCTTTGGCATACAAGACCCCAAATGGATGATGAGTTTCCTTCTAGCTGTGGGTCCTAAACTCATCACACATACCAGAGGAGCAGGGAAAGCATGATTTCTCTCAGCTGATGTTCCTACTGTGATTGCTCAAACTGGAAATGATTTGGAAAACTACATCAGGAATTAATTTGCTCTAGAGGGCAAGACTAAGCTAAAGGCAGAGTAAGTGAGGGATCATCAGCTGCACAAGAGACCTCAAGGTGTACGACCGAACTAGAGGAACAGTAATAACTTGTTTACATGAAAAGGCTCAAAGGCCTGTGAGGTACCACATACTGTCCTCCAAGGAATGGTTACAATTGACATTTTGCTGCAAACACCACTGGTTAGGGATAGCTGCCTTCCAGTACTGCAGGGCAAACCCCAGAAAAAAGAGGTCCTGCATAGGGAACACACCTCCGGATATACTCCATGATGAAAGCAATCCAGCCTTGTGAGGCATAGTTGTCCCCACATGCCCCTGTCTTAGCTGGCACGTTTTGGTAGATGGCAGAGTGCAGCTTGGCCAAGTCCTCCTTCCCCGGGATTGGGAGTGACAGGTCCTGGAACGTCTCCACCGTTGTAGAAACCTGGAAATACCCAAGAGGAAGAGGTCTGGGTTTCCTGTGCATGTAATGGAGCTGGGACCTGACCTTCATCACCTTTTATCACTGCTTGGATTTTGTCTAGGCTAGAAACCTGAGCTGGCAGTAAGAGCAACTCGCTCTGGCTAATTATTCTCCACTGCTGTCAGCAGGATGACTTTTGTCACGGTTTTTGTAGCACTGGAATCAGTTTTCTAATGTGATATTGCTAGGCCAACTCAGTAACACAGATAAGCAAACAGACCCCTACAGAGAAATACGACTTCTTGGCATGGTAGGTTTCTCACACCTCCCCTGCCATCCAGCTATCGTCATTTTAGCAGGCCTACTGCATTCCACAGTGTTTGGAAACAGGAGCACCATTTCCTAAAAGATCTACAAGCTAGAAGACTGTGCTCTTTGACTGACAGCCACCAGGAGACTCACTCTGTCGCAGGTGAGGCACTGCACCAGGCTGAGAATGGAGCCATCAAAGATGTCAGAAATCACACTGCGATAACGAAGTTCTTTCTTCTTTTTCCCAGAAGCCTGCATCTGGGCTGAAAGACAGACAAGGAAGCCCCATCATGTAGCAACTCCTTCCCAGTCTCCTGTCTCAGTAGACTGATGCAGCCACACAAGAACACAGGACAAGTGCTGTCCTGCATGTTCAGACGCCACTTGCATGCCAGTGAAACACTGGAGCCCGTTGTAAACTGACATGAAGAACACTGCTGCTTCACCTGGTACAAGAAAGGGGGAGGTAGCCAACTGAACCAACACAAACGTGCCAGGTCATAGCAGGCAGAAATTGTCTTACTGGAATTCCTGTTTCCATCCTCTTACTACATGTTTAGAAGCCTGGCCCTGCCACAGAGAGTCCCTGCTTTTCTGAGGTCTTGCAACATTTTGCTCTAAGCTTTACACTTTACTTCCTCTCCCCCCTCACCTGCCTGTGTACTTTGTCCTTTCCCCCCCCGGCCCTCGACATTTCCCATGTGTTCCCCAGGTGTCTTGCATTGGAGAGGACTCTCCACAGCAGGGACTGGCCAAACACACAGTTTTGTTTAATAACAAACCCTCTTCCCCACGCACACTTGCACAGAGACAGAGTGCTTTTTATCCGGCCAGAACATCTGTGGCTGTGCTGACCTCAGCCAAAGGGCTGGGACACAGCTGAAGAAAGAATGCCATTATTGAACAGCTGTAGGGACACTGGTATAAGCACATGCCATTGTGTTTGCAGACTATGCAATGCTGAGTGATTTCAATTTCCAGTTTGCTTGGGATGAATAGACCAGTTTGATAACAACAGAAGCCAGGGTCCACTCTGAAGCCTAACAATGCTCCCAGCACTGGATTGACATCTGCAGCCTTAATTCTATTATTGTGAGCCCAAGATGTCTAAGAGACAGGAAGGTCGCTCTCGGTAACATCATCTTACAGTTCTCTGGCCCACATGCTATGAAATTCAAGTCTGGCAGACAAATGTTTACACATCTCCATGCTCCCCTAAAGGGACAGAGCATGTGCCTGGGACTTCATAGCAATTTTATTAATAACAAACACAGCATGCAGATGCAGACATGGAAATAATTTCAGGCTCCAATATAAGAGCATACTAGAACATCTGTTGTGCCCAGAGCTTGACTTTACCTGCAGTTTTACTGTAGTCTTTGCGTAGTACTATTTTAGAAAGCACTGATGTCCAGGGCAATCAGCACTTCTTACAACTGTTAATCAAGAATCATGATGGATTCCTTCTCTCTTCTGTAAATTAGCCCTTCCTCCCCTACATGCTCCCCCGCTTCCCTCCCAGCATACACTCTTTGCACTACCTTTCTTGAGTACGTAGGAAGGGCCAAGCCTGGCAGGACTGGAGCGAGGAGGACTGCTAGAGAGCTTGGAGTGCATTTCGTGATGGACTGGACTGCAGGGGCGTGAGGAGCAGCGCACGTAGGCATCATTGTCAGGTTCTGTATGGGAAGATGGGGAAGGAGAAGAGCACTGGTGAAAACCCCAGTTATGAAAGGCAACCCTATAGCAGTCAGCGTCAGCCCAGTTCTGCGTTCCAGCACAGAATCTTTCCCAACATGCACCGTCTATTAACTGTCCTGCTTGCAAAAGTTGGCAGATACAGCTCCCTCGCTGCATGGATAAGAGTGCATACAGAGCTATACTGAACAGCTAATAATTACATATAAAAAAAAAAAAACCCACGGACATTTTCTCACACTTGTGACTAATTAAGTTTTACAGCTTGCTCCTGTATCCCTAATCCACATAAACAGCATTGCTGTCTTCAGTGCCAGTTGGCAGAGTAAGGCTCTTATATATAGAAGTGTTGAAAGATCGGGTATGTTCAGTTTGAGGTGACTTCACACATACATGTTAACTGCTGCTCTTTTCTTTTCCCTAAGACACAGAAATGCATAAACTGTGCCTCTTCCTTTACTCTCCACAAAGCCCACAGTCCAACATTAACAAACCTTCTGCCACGCCTTTTCCACAGCTAGTATTTCCCCAGGCCAGCCTATCAGATAAAGCAATGTACACATACAAAACCTTTTTCTTAAATTAAGAAAAGGCATAAATACAGTGTTTGCAGGTTTGGCAGATGCAGCTATCACTGCCTTCAGGACATAGTCTTTACTCAGCCCCATAGCCCGGCTAAGCACCTCTCTGGGTGACATATTACATTTTCTTACAGAATCAATTGTGCACAAAGACCGAGGAAAATCTTGGATGCAAAACCTCTTGAAACCCATAGAAGGAACAGTTACATGAAGTGCTGTTTGCCACTGCATTACAACACTGTCCCTGTGCAGAGTGATAACATGTCTTCTCACAAATAACATGACTGGAAGAGGTGTATACCTGGTGTCCTACATGGGCTGGCAGGACGGGGAGCTGGCAGCATCTCAGGTGAGGCTCTACCATCAACTGGCATCATAGTAGTATCAACATCTGCATCCTCATCCACCTGCTCCGAGTTGCTGCGCCGATGGCCGCAGGAGAACTTTCTGTCCTTCATCCGCTCTTTCTCAGAGATCCCTCTCCCTGCTTCATCCTGGATCAACAACTCTGTCTCTGCCAGGGAGCTGCTGCCCATGCTCCCTGTGGTCCGACTTTGACCATCTCCTTCACCCCTGTCACTGCTTGAGTCACAGGAGAGAAACTCATCCTCCGAAGGACTTCGGTCACCTTCTCGCTTGTCGTCCTGGTCACTGGTATCCAAATCCCTCGTCTCTGCAACAACTGGTTCCTTCAGTTCTTCGTGAAGCTGATCCATCAGGCACCGCAGGAACTCCTGAGTGTCCTGCAAACCAGGAGTAACTCCATGTTAGGATCCATCCAGAAATGGGGCAAATGAGAGGGGCAAAAGAGGAGAGCGCCCCATTCACAGCCTCTTTCAATGCTACCCACAAAGGTTAGCCACCTCTGCAACACAAGGAGACCCTACTAAAGCAGAGAGAGTACCGTGGCGAGGTACCAAGAAGCCTGTCTGCTACATCAATGTTTTTAACTCCTAAATGATAAAAGGCACAATTTTTATCTGAACATCTTCAGCTGAAAGATACTGAAAAGCTAGAAAGCAGCCGTAGCATGCAAACCATGAGCTTATTTATCAGGGGTTTACCACTGATAAGAGGGGAGAGACAAGGATGAACCTAATGAAAACAGCAGGCCCTAGAGAACAGACTCTTACCCACAAAACAAATTTCGTGAGCACTGACTTCTGCTCATGGAAATCTCTCTCAGGGTGGGCAGATTAAAATCTTTAATAAATAGGGAATGGAACCAGAAACCAAAGACTATGCAGTCTAGGTGCAAGCTCCTACATTCATAATACATCGTAAAAGAGCCGATATACTGGCTTCAAAGGACCTGCTGGAAAGCGACTTGGTATTTTGACAACTCCAGAAAGTTAATTATGATGTCTCTGTTATTTTATGGAAGTTTGGCTTTTAGCCTGCCCTGTCTTCCTTTCAACTTTATCTCTTTACAGCTGAGTGTTTTTCAATCCAACGTACTTCACATCAAAGATAAATATAGAAGTTCTTTCATTAATCATTATTTCTATCCTGTTTTGATTTCCTGTCAGTATCACAGTTTAGATGTACTGTCACTTCTCTTGTAAATTTTCTAATCATAGATTGGTGTTTACATTTTATTCTGAAGAATAAACACAAGAGATACACCGATAAAAACTTCAAAGAAAAAAAAGGATACTATCTTTAAATAAGATTTAGTTTGTTGTAATTCTCCAGAAAAAGAATATAGAACATCCGTATCTTTAACTTTTAGTACAGATTTATCCAGGTTTCTCAGCTCTGACGTGAATAAATAATACCTAACTCTCACACAGCAGTATCAACGGATTTCAAAGCCCTTTATAAAGGAGGAGACCATCATAATTTCAGAGGTGAGAAAGCTGACACAGGAAAATGCACTGATTTGGTACCAGCAAGCCAGAGGCAGAGCCTGAAAGAGAACCCAGGTCTCCTAAATCCCACCCAAGTGCTCTATCAGATCACTAAAGCTGACACAAAATGGGCACGACCTCTGAGCTCAAGCTCTTCCTTCTGAACACAAGCATCACCGCTGCAGGAATTAAAATCCCACCATCTTTGGAATAATGGCATGTTTTTGTTGAGGCCCCACCTGCTGTGCATAGCCTCGGAACATGGGGTTGACGAGTTTAATTCCATGGGATAGACTGCTTGGAACAACATAACTTGGGCTGTTTAGATATGGGGGGGAAAAAAAAAAAGTTAGTTTGCTTATCAGGCCTGGAGCAAGTTTGTCTAATAAGGCATAGAACAGGGTGTGGTAACTAGTTAAAAAGGACAAAAGATAATTATGCACCTGCAAAGCCTAGGCATATATTTCTCTATTAGCTGGATGACATACGAATTAAGAGACAGAAAACATCTCGCAGTCATTTCAGTCTATCCCTCCACAGAGACTCTTCCCTAGAGCACATTTAGCTTAAAGCTCTGCCCAGACTTTGAATTGTCTCAAGTGATTCTTTCCAGAGCAGGGGACTGCAATTAGTTACTTGGTTTGATTTTGCAGCACCATGTCTGTCTCAAAATCTGTGTGGTCTGACCACCCAGTAAATGAGGTAAATCAAAACCAATTTTAAAATTACATTATATTGCTTCAAAGTCTCCAGCCTTCTCTTCCAGAAAGACACAGTTCACTTTTGCTCTGTGTCTTACTTATCCCTTGTTATAACATGAAACAAACATGCAATGCCATTTAAATTCCCAGTTTGATTTATTTCAATTGATTGCACAGAGCACACATCTTCAGATTTAAAGACAGCTGCTTTATTTTACATGGTAAAAATCTCTGTATCCCTTTTTCCATCAAAATCATCAATCCCTCTGCTAATCAAGAGCAGTGCAATTAAGTGCTGGTCAGTCCATGCAAAATACTCAGAAATGGCCAAAAGTATTCCCTTACTCCATCATTTTTTCTTCATTGCCAACAGGGAAGCTAAATTAAAAAACAAATTCTCCTCTTTTTTAAAGTTATAACATTAAGAACCTATTCTTTTCGCTGACATAAATATGCCCATTTTATCACCAGTAGCAGGAAAAGGGACCTCCTAGGTATGGGGGAATCCTCGCATACCTATCTACGTAGGGTTTGAACTGACTGCCTTAGACAATGCACTTATCCCTGAAGATCAAATTTCCTCTTTGCCAATGCCAGACTTCAGAACTAACATAACTATGAAACCTGTCCAGATTAGATTAGGGAGTGACCACTCACCGTTTCTTATGCCAAACCTCAGACACCAACTTCTGGTAACTTTTGCACAGGGCTGGTTTCTTATCTGTACGGACCAGTCCACCACATTCCAGAAAAAACTGTGTGAGAGGTGGGCTACAAGAAAAAAAGAGAATAATTCAGTGCACAGAAATTTCTTCTCTGCTTCTATTTAAGGGTTTATCAAAACTGAAATGCATGCCTTTTTGAAAGCATGCTTAAGATTCTGGTTTTTAAATCGAAGGAAGAAATGATTCCAGGTGCAGACTTGTCTCCTAACTTGAAACAAATTAAAGAGGCTGATCTGAATCTGTTCCCAGTACAGAGACGAGATCCTGGAATTAGTTCTCAGCACGATGGGTAGAAAATATTTTAGGATATGGATTGTTAGAAAGGTATCACTGGGGAGAATAAAGAGATGTGAGGTGCCTTCCCATGTGATAAATACATATCTGTCACAATAGAAATGATGGAAGTTTTACTTCAAGCACTCATGTAAACATGAGTCTTGCATGTAGCAACAAGCTGGCTATTCCATTCAATTTCCTACTGTAAAACTTCCATTGCTCTAAACACTAAATTTTTCTGCACCTAGCCTGGCTGATTTCTCTTTGCAAGACCCATGAAGGTCTCAGATCAGAGGTGCCACTTTTGATACTTAGTGAAGTCTAGTGAAGACTCTACTGAAAGGCCCTAATGCCTACCAGTTAGAGAGAGCCTGAAGTGCTGCATTCATGTAGCAGGAGTTCCCAAGATTTTTCATTCCAGTAAGGCCTAAAGCACAAACAAGAGAGGCATGAAACACTTTCCAGACGTGCTGCTTTCTACATTCCTCCCCAAAGGAGAGGGAATTCAGCCCTTTCTAGGCAGTCTTCACACTCTGCCCCTAGGAACCTCTCAGTGCAGGTCCTACACATTGCAGAGTTACACTCACAGCCTTTTCATCAACTCGATGCAGAGTTACCTCTTGGTTTCAAATCATCATCCTCTGATTCAGATTCGCCTTCATCAGCCACTGCAATTGGAACAGCTTTCAAAGGGTGAGCAGGCAATGGAGAATCCTAGATTAAAGACAGAGAAATAAGCATCAGTGAGAGGCCTGCTTTGAAAGATGAATTCTGAGAGAGAGATTATCTTACACATAAATTGAGCCAGCCTTTATAAAAAGCACTCTGGAGAGAGAAGAACAAATTGCACTGTCTACCCTTCTCACTAATGCAAGGAGGGAGTGGAAACAATACCACTACTGCTTCCAGTAGACATGATAAAAGAGGCATCAGGAACATGCAGCAGTGTCACAAGGACATGTGTTTCTGGTCTGACAGCTAAAATTTTGACGGGCCAAGCATTGAAAATGAAGATGTGACAGCTGTTGTGGTTCCTTCCAGAAACAGACACCCTGCGGAAGAGGCTAGGAAAGGTTAAAAATAAAGTCAGAATGGATATTCAAATCATCTGGAAGTCTTCTTGCTGGGAGATCCTGTAAGGCAAGGCTACTGGTCCTCTGGCTACAGGTAGCCACTTTCAGTCAAAGAGTTCCTATCGCAACAAAAGCCTGGACAATAGCAGAAACCACTTGGCTAATTTTACAGCAGGTAAACAAAAACCCTGCCAAGCATTCAACCCTGCCACATTGTGACACAGACCCACCGTCTCAGTGAACTTTACTGGTGGTGACTGCGAGTGCGTTGCCAGCCGCTGGTCCAAGAACACCTCCTTTTCACAAGCGTAACACCAGACACGGAAAGTGGTCAGATTCACTGTCAGGTTGTGCTTTTTGGCCTGAAAATTAAAAGGTGAAATAATGAATCTCATTTGACAGCTGGCTCAAGTTGAAACACTGGACTAGCAGAACAGGGTAGAGGAGGATTACGTAATGGGAAAAATCCAACTTTGACTTAAGATGGACAACAGAGGAAAGCTCACCTGTGCATGAAGTGTGCTGTGGTCAGCAAAGGACTCCCCACAACCAACATAAGGACAACCAATCTAGTGAGAGAAAAGAGCAAAAGTATAATGGGCACATCAAACTACACCCTTCACAAAATAGTCTGCAACTCTAGTCCCACCAGCAGCTGCAACTTCAGAATCAATCTTGCCAGTTTTCTAACCTTTCAGGGCCCAGAATAAGATGGAAAATTGTAATTGTTTGATTTACGAAAGAAAACCTGGAACCAGGTTTGCACCCACTCAAAGGCTCCACTCCAAGGCAATTGCTCCAATGGGTAGCTCATTTGAACAGTCTCAAAATGTCTGGGCATTCCAGTGTGAAAATAAACTGCCCCTGCCCACCTGCATGCCCTTTGTCATTCCTTTCCACCCCGCTGCCCTGAGCAATGTCTTCTGAGGTCTCACGCTTGCAGCCTCCCTTCACAGTTGCCAGCAGAGGCAGGACCCAGCCAACAGTCAATGCTGGGCATTTTATTCATTCCTATTGGGACTACTGGGAGCAAACACCTGTGAGGAGTGAACTGTTTGGTCTTGGCATATTCTGACAGCCTTTCATCTAGGGAGTCTTTTCTTTGGAATCCATTAAAACCTGGCGGATAGTTCTACTGTGAACTCCCTCTTCGCTTCCCGCTTTTTTTTTCTTTTCAGTATAAATGATAGTAAAGAGAAGTCCCACCATATCATGCACACAAATAGCAAGCCATTTTTACCTGAAGACAAGCCCAGAGATTTGGTCCCACAGCTCCACAAGACTGGCAAGTTCCCTGCATATTCATGATAAAAGAAGGTTTGTTTGCTTGTTTGTTTTTTAAGTAACTTAGTCCTTCAAGAGTGGGAAACTTCTCTATAACAGGCCTCGCCAACCTGCAGCTCACAGTATTTCATTTCTTAATACTACACTTCCAATTAAATATACGCTTTGCAGCGTTTTAGCTAAGTGACACATTTGAGCAGGATAAAATGACAGTGAGAAATAGATCAGATGGGGTCAACAAAGGCTTACTTTATGGGACATGTGCAAGGTACATCAGCACTGGAAAAAGAGTTTCTGCCTCTCCTCTATGGAGACTGGCAGCATTTTCTTCAAAAAGCAAATATGCAAACTCATGCACAATAGCTAAAAGGGAAAGGACTGACAACCAGAACACCCTGTACCTTGGATTTGAGCAGCAGATCATCCCTGGTCACCTCTCCTATGGAATCCAGGTGAGGACAGATGTCTCTTGTATCCCCCATTTTCACCAACGCTCACCTGCGGCAGGGGGTGTGTTTTCCTATGACAAGAAAGGATAGTTCCTTTCAGTTACATGTCAGATTTGCCCTCACAAATTTTAAGAAGATAAATTAGCATGTTTTATATCTTAGAGATTAAGATATCCATCTTTACAGTTCAGAGATCAAAACAAATCTAAATCTGCAGTCAGTCATATTGACTACCGGAGTTCTGACCCGCTGTTGAGTGGCTGCATTGTGGCATCGAAGGTAAGCGATCAAGGCAACGGGGAGGAGAAGGAAACACATGAGTAAAGCTAATAATCTGTACAACGAGGAATGCACCTTCAGAAGTGTAGGGAGGAGCTCAGTACACAGGCATAGCCTCAGCAGCACAGCTGCCAACTCGGTGTCAGGTATGGGGACAGATTTGCTGTAGCCTCAAAATGAAAACAGCGGTAGAGTGACCTACTGACCACCCTCTTAATCTTAAAATCGCAGACGGTCTGGATTGTGTAGCATCTCTGAATCATGCAGAGTCCTATAGCAATAAATAAAAACTCCCATTAACTCATATATGCTTTACATACATAACATAACTGGTCTTGTATCCCATGAATACGTTGTACTAAATGAACCTAACTAGACTGATAAGCTACGCTTTCCCCCTTAGAAACTGGGTGTTCTGTGCCAGCTGAGCAGGTAGGGTGGGAAAACAAATGCAGTGATCTGAACTGACTCCCTCTTGCCAAACACAAACACGCAGCATGAAAAGATACAAATCTAATTAGCTTATTTGCATGAAACTTAGATTAAAAGTGAAAGGGCTGCAGCCTGAGACACAAGTATTTAGCCTATGGTGTCTAGGGGCTTCATGCTACCCATACTGTGCTGATCTGAATCTAACAGTTATTATACTACTTTATCGAACATTAAAAATATGATTACTGCTGTAAATGAAGCTGGGCAAGAGGGAATTAGACTTAAATGATCTGTAACACAGATAATCAGTCTTCAGTCTCTGCGGAATTTACAATTTGATAGGTAGATTTTTAACAATACGAGCCACATAACTCTCAAAGACTGTACAAAATGTAATAACACACTGTTCTACCCAGCTCGTACATCCAAGCACCGCAAGTAGAGGATTTCATAGCTGCATGCTTATGAGCACAATAAACACTTCCATGGTGGTCCATGGGTATGTAAAAGATTTTAAACATGTCTCAGTAACATGCAGCTATTAAAAAAAAAAAATGAAAAGAGTTTCTGTTTCTTCAGCATAGTTTAAGTAACCTCACCCATGGCCGTTAAAAAAAATAAAAAGAAAAAAGAAGACAAGTGATATTAATAACACAGACCAGGATCCAAAATATTCCTGTTGGCTGGAAACGAAGCAGCTATGAAAAGCCCACATCATTAGAAAAGAGAAGTGGAAAAATCTGATGAGCTTGACGTTAATGACTCCAGCAGCACGGTTGCTACTCTGTGTTGTTTTCACATTTTGAGGATTTTTTTAAAGAATTCCCAGTGTTCCATGGTCTGAATCACTGACAGTGGGGAGAAAAGAAAAAAAAAAAAAAAGGATAAACGAATAAGCTGTATCAGCAACACCTATCTGAGGAGCTGAAAAGCTTGCCTAGCACCTTGCCTTGGCAGAAGACAAACCTCAAGGATAATTTTATAACAAATGTTTTTTCAGCACTCTTTGGAACGGTATAAACTGAACTGGAGGAGCAAAGCAAAACTGGAGGGAGAAGAAATCATATCTGCATGCTAGAAAACATAACAGTGGGGTTGTAACCAGGATCTCAATAACCTGTGAAGAGATGCTTAACAAACAACTGAGCGATCTCATGCAGTTTCACAGAGAACCAAAATAGTATCATGTAACATATGTTGATTTAAAAGACAAGTGACAAGAGCGCAGTATCTTTGACTAACACATAAAACTGGGACACTTCCAAGCTCTAAGTCCCGTCACCAAAACTAATTCCTTTTCCCAAATGTATCAGCTGATCCAATTAAAAAAAAAAAAAGTATCAATACCATGTTTGCTATTTCACCTACCTTGATTTGTTATCCCTTTCCCAGAAAACCTAATGACCCAAATATTGTTTTAAAATTAACTCCAGACCCCTTAATCTTCACCAGCTTAAGCGAACTGGGAACCTGTTTTGGAGCACGCTAAAGTACAGTCTTGTGGATGTGGATGGTTTCAGCGCATTCTGTGGGCCCACCCCTCTAATCAAAATTAAAATCATGCCTTTAAACTTTCCAGCACTGAGATGCTGATCTTCCCACCTAGGGCATCCCTTTTTGAACAAAACAGGGAAAACCTCATTTTCGCCTCTCAGTCCTCACTGAACACATCAGAAAAGCTTCAGAGTCGTAACTGTTCAGAAGTAAGTATTCAATCCCTACCTTCCCACGACTCTGCCCTAAATGCTTTAGCTGGTGCGCACAGCTCTCTAGTGCTGCTCAGGAAACTAGGAATTTAATAAAAGCACTGCCAGAAAGCTTAACTGTGCTTGTCAAAATGTACTGTGTATGATGGGAAAAGAAGTTACCTTAAAACAAGTCCTTCAGCCTGTCTTTCTCAAGCACCACTGTGGAAGAACAGTACACGAACATGTCAGAACAATTCTACGGTAAATGCAACCTACTTTCAGTTGCTTAAATTACTGCCAAACCCAGTGTCTCTGCCTTCTACAGTAACACATTTCTCGTTGGTGGGTTTTTTTTGTGCTTAAAACAACTGTGTGGTTTTGTACCAAAGCTAGAGCCAGCTGTCAAGAATTTCAGATACATGCAGATTGACGGTCTGTGGAGTAACTGTTCGTACAAATAAAACAAATCTTAGCACTCTTCATCCGCAAAACAACTACCAGTTCTGCTCGCTCATCTTGCATAACCTACCAAGATAAAGGAATATCTGCAGTTGTTCTTGGCAACATTTTATACTTGAGATACTGAAGAAAGAAATATTTACTGAACTGCTCTGCTGACAAGGAAGAACCACAAACCAGGTCCTTCTGACCCTTAGCGGAACGTTTGCACCGCATCATGTATTGGAAAACCAGGCGTTTTATGCACAACAGGCAACGGAGACCAGATTTTAAGACAGATTTATTACAGGAGGTCACAATGCGACCGCACACCTAGTGATTTAGCTTTTAAGAAAACACCACCTTCGGGAAATCGCCCCCTTCCCCGACTACGTTGCTCCTCAAGCGCAGCAAAGCCCCAAATACAAGTCCTCTCCTAGCAGACGCTACAGCTGTTAAGCATGAGTGAACCTGAATATAAATATGCCTGCACGGCGCTGGGTTCGTGGGGAACGAGGCACCGGCAGAGCTACCGGCTGCACCGCAGGGTCCCACTCCGAGGGTCGTGGGGGCACAGACGCCGCTGTCGCCCCGGGAAAGGCACCAGGCCCTGGGGGCTGCAGGGCCGCCCCA